ACACGACGCAATGCGCGAGCGTACTAGCCTACTAGAGCAAACTATTGCTTTCTTTTGCTTACTTTGCTCTCTACAGCACTTATAAGGTGTTAAATAACTTGAATCTTTATGGTCAAAAAAGTAAGTCTAATTTAGCCGTCGAGTTTATAAAAAAGAATGTCATTATGTAACTGCTTTGCCATTAAATCGACATGTTTCTTTTTCTTTTTTTAAAGGAAACAGCAGATCGGTACACAGTTGTTCATAATAATCCATCCATAACACATCATCTACGTCATCATCTGCTGCTGGCATCTATATAACTCTAAATACTAAGCCAAATAATTCAATTAATTTTTATCATGCATTTGGGTTTGATGCAGCTTCACAAGAAACAAATGGAAATTGCATTTATCCAGGACACATTAATATACCTGAAACACATTTCTATATGACATATACATAAAAGTTGTCAAATATTTGATCAAATTTTGTAAATACAATTGAAGTTGCTCAGTTTAAAATTACCATCTGTATTTTAAACACATTTTTAGTATTAAATTCCCCATGTTCCAGTTTTGAACGAGAGAGTTTTTAGGAGAGACTAATTTGCAACCACATGATTTATATTTGCTTATAGGCTCCATGATTTTGCATATTGTGCACTGCAGTGTTCATTGTCAATTCTCCATTTATATAGTGGACAAGTCTAGAGTCTTACTATACTATTATAGTCACAAAGTATGACACCTAGACCGCCTGAAACTGTAACAGAACCGTTCTTTCAGTTAACATCTAGAGTTTTTTAAACGTTGGGTGGTAAGCCACCATTTCCTTTACAGCTATAAGAGAAAGCATCTGTCAACCTTCTTATGAACATGTTTAACCTCCAAAAACTAGTGCTGATGCCTAAATTGGCTAATGCCAAAAGAAGTAACACCCTAAACACACAAGTTTTGGGTCACATGACACTGGTCAATTATGTTCAAGACCAAAAACAACTTTGTTGAAGCCTTATCTTCCACATCTGTATAACAAAACACACATTCATGCATATACATTACAAATGCACAAACAGGTTTGCTGTTCGAATGTAATTTAACAGCTGGTTCTTTAGCAATGTGATCATTTAACCTGTACTTTTGTTCCTTTTGTCTGATGAACAAAGCTTGACTCGGTTTTTTGACTTTCAAAACAGTGACGTACTGGCTGTATTCATATCAGCAGCAATTGCGTCATCAACAAAAGAGAAGATAGACAGGAATGTTCCTCAGCATATGGTAGTAAACAATAATTCTATCAGTGATGTAAAGTAACAAATTGCAAATACTTAAATTACTGTGGTTTTTCTCAGGAATTGTACTTTAAGTAGTTTTAAAAATGTGTACTTTTACTGGAGTACATTTTTAGTTCTGTATTGGTATTTTTACTATTGTCCTTCAACTTGCAGTCACTATTTTAAATGCTTGTCTTGTGATTCCCATCCAATCAAAACACTGAAGACATGGATGCTTTATAACTGCAGCAATCATGTCCAGTGTGTAGCGTTGGTGCAAAATTAACACACAATGACTGAAAGACTGTTTAGATTACGTTACTGATGAGAAGATGAAGAATGTCAACTAAATGATGGCTGAAATCTTCAGATGGCCTTAAGCAAATAACAAGATGTACTACATAATGTTACGTTTTCAAACAAATGCACAATTTATGTGTATTCTATCAGTGCTGCATGAAGTTGGTTTAGGATAAAATAATTTACCACACTTTTTAACACAATTTGCAGGGTATAAGGTGAAATAGTTTTCATTGCGTATAACTCAATACTCTTGAGAACTTTTCAAAAGGCTACATTTACTCAGAGTAGTATTTAGAACAGACAATTTTTAACATGTTTGAGAGGTAATGGTACTTTTAGCTGAGTATGATTTTTCAGTACCCTTGCTACTGCTTGTTGTTAACCTTGTTACTATATATGTGTTCCAGTTCCCTTAAAAATTCTCAATGCATTTGTTTCCAGTGAAGTGCAGAGGTCTGGTAAGGGAGATTCTCATCTTTTGTTAGCAGATGCAGCCCTTTAACCACTCCTACACCTTGTACACAATAACACGCAAGTGCACTCTCTTGTGAGCCAATTATAGGTTAGCCAAAATACCACCTGCTGCATTCACCAAAAACAACAACACAAAAAAGCGCTTGATCGTCGACTCTGACCTATATAGGTCTGACCACATGCATCTTTTTGGTTATGAAACTGAGCTGCTAGAAGCCTCTTAAGTTTATTCTAATCCTAAAAAAGGTCACAAGCACAAGCACTTTAGCACAAGTGCAAAACAAAGTAATTATGCGCTTTATGATATTATTTAGACCCTCTATAGGGACAAGGACGTAGCGGGTCTGTTTATTTGAGTTGGGTCTGTTTATTTGTCGTTTCCTTTTTTAAAACACCCAAAACGTGAAGCAATCTTGGAGAGGACCCACAGATAAAATAAACAAAAATATATTCCCTACACCCAAATTAAACTTAATACACTTTTTATACCACATTTAGTAATGGAAGTGCGGTGTATGTTCAGAGGTAAATGAAACATACATTCCTACATTGCAAAACAACAATTTTTGATGTTTAGGATGATCCAACTTAGTCTTGCTGATATCCTGGTAGACTGTAGCTCGAGAGAACTTATTAGCTTTCATTGTAGTATTTTCCTGAATAGAGAATCCTGATTGATTCCAGTCAAAGGGATTATATTCACCTTCAATTAGATACAAACCATGAATTTATTTTGTTGTTGTTGTTGTTGTTGAACACACAAGATATTTTGAAGAAAAGCTGCAAACCTGTAACCATTGACCTGCATAGTAGGAAAAACAGATAGCTTACAATGGAAATCAATGGTTACATGTTTCTAGCTTATTTCAAAATATTCTCTTTTGTGTTCATGAGAAGAAAGAAACTGTTAAAAGTTTGAAACAAGTAACGAGTGAGTAAATTGTGATCCTTATTTTTATTTTGGTGATATATACCCTATATATAGATCATAGACATATAATCATCAGTAACTACACTATCCTCAAAGCGTATAATTCCGAACTTGAAAGCATTATAGGGCCCCCTGGTGGCGCCTTGAAAATTATAGGTTCTTGACTTCAAAGGAATGGGATGTGGGTCAAACTAGTAAAATCTAATTACACTTCAAATTAATGTTTCTAATTATATCTGTCAGTTCAGCTAGTTATAGTTATATTTTTAATATGAGTGACGTATCTCCACAAGTGTTTGTTTTTATTTATTATGCTTGTAGTTCGTTTTTTAAAGCCCTCCCCCTAACCACCCCAGATTGTTTCGTAATGCTGTGGTCCATTGTCTGCTTATCTCAACTGCTTTTGATCTCGAACACACACACATCCGGTGGGGGACAGAGCAAACTGCCGCGAATTTCAAAGGAAGTTGGAACTGTTGAAAGTCGGCACTCAGGGCTATTTTATTCACTTACTTACTCTATGTTAATTATGTTATTCACTTTATTAACATTAGGTAAGTACAGATGACTGTGAGTCATTTATAAACGAATCATAACAAAAAAAATTGTTAGTTTACTAGTTTGTTATTTCACTGGTTAATTTTCACTGGTGAAAGTCCAAACACTGAAGAGCAAATCCATCTATCCTAGCTTCACAAGTCCCAAAACCATGCAAGCCAGTGGCTACAGTAGCAAGGAACAAACTTCACCAATAAACAATGGTCATCATAACCACATATTTTGATGCTAACATTTTCTAAATATTTAAAAAGAAGAAATATGAGAATAATACTTGTTTTCAAATTACAAATGTATTACTTCATACATCGTTGGAAATAAAATAGTAATGGGAATAGCTATAGTTTCTAATTTAAAAATTGTTAGTTTTAAATTAGAAACTGTCGCCTATTCCTACATAGCAACATTTCTCTGACCCAGATCTGGCCCACACAATCAGCTATTGCTTGGCCCACTTGCTGCAGTGAATTACGGTACAGGATTGAACTAAGTCTAGCTTCCATACAAGGGCCAAACATGGACTGTATCTGGGCCAAGTCTCAGCTAATTTAATAACCCATAACTGGGCCAAATATGTTGGTGTGTCACAACTGCAAAGAATTTAATAAACCCATGAAGTATTTTGCTTTGCCACACATTTACTTGAAGCAACCTAATGGGTAGAAATTTTCTTTATTTAAAAATAATTTAAATGTATTATAATAGTGGGTCAAGATAGGCCAAACTTACATATACATTTTTAACATCTGGGCCAAGTCTTGGGTGCCACCTTAAAGACGGTGCTACCTCTGCCAAACCTGGGCCATGTTTGGCCCACATGCTGTATGCCAGTGCCAGAAAAATGCCTGCTGTGCCAGCTTCATGCCAAATCTGGAATAAAGAGTTTTTTTCATTCTTCATTAAAGAGATCAGTGTGACTTTAGAGAGAGAGAGAGAGAGAGAGAGTAATTTAAAGCAGTTTTTTTAAAGAGGTTTGGCTGGTTGTCCACATACATGGACCCTGAAACTACTATTTTCTTTAAATTCTGGCCAGTGTAAGGATTTTCAGAAATCTGGTAATAGTGGGGGTGTGTGATCACTACAACCAAGGTTTTTGTCTCATAGTGTCATCGTGTGCGCTGTTTCCTACTGTTTAATTGCCAGACATCTTTATTTTATAGCTAAGCCTAATGCTGGGTTCAGACCAAATGCAGAGCACTGGAAGATGGGACTTAGGCATAAATTTTGCCATGCAGAGATTATTCGGCTCTCTTCATGTGTTGGCATTATATCAGCATGCCCTTCACAGTTCTTCACAGTGTTTTTTTTTTTGTTTTTTTTGCATTTTCATGTGTATGGATTTTTCAAATAAAGGCAGGAAAAACGTATAAAAACCCGTGGATGTTTTGTTATTTTTAGATTTGAGTTCAAATATGCAATGCAAGTAATTTAGGCACACGTTGATCATTTTAATGCGTTTAAATTTATCTAGCGATAGATGGCGCTAATGTACTTACACAGCTGCGATCTGCCGCCATGAAACAAAAGGAGAAGTAGCCATCACAATCACCAGCGCAACCCAACGCCGAGTCTTCAGAGCTTGAGGTGATCGATTTTCACATCTTTATACAATTATGAAAACATTCATGTTGAAATGATATGTTACAGGGCGATTTCTGTATTGTTGTCATCAAGTAGTGCTATATTAGCGTCTTTTCTTGCGCATGCTAACTGAAATAAACATTTACCTCAGATAGCTGGAGAATTAATGTTAAATAATGTTAGACTTAAGGGGTTGTTTATTTACTTAAAGTGGGCTGTAGTTGGATTTGGCTTCTGAGATTGAAAACATTTCACATTAATAATATGTTGGTACTACTATTTGTTATGGGTGTTTCCCTATTCATTGTTTTACTGCCTCTAAAATGATAATATACAAAATAACATAAAGGTAAACCAAGCACAACGTTTGTGTTTTCACAATCAGTGTTATATTTTCAGAACACAAGACTCAATGATTAAGTCAATGTGGTGTATTTATTACAATCTAGTACAGGATCTACATCCTCCACTGGGGGTGAATCTGCTGAAATATTAGATTATTTAACAGCAAATAAAACAACAGTAAGTCAAAAATTCTCAGCAGATTTGACTGTCGACTGTATCTGCAGTTCATGTATTGTGTCAGTTATTTTTCTAACTGTCCAAAAGAACTGGTTGTTATAAACATTAAACAACATTGTTATGAAGTTAATAACTGATTTATGTTTGATTTTTGCAGATTTTCTTCTCCAACCACACAGCAATTCTTCCTCAGTGAAGCTAATATTACGTTGATTAATAGTTAATGATGAAATATCACTATTAACCAGCAGGTGAAGAATAGTTTATCAGGGCACAGTAAGAATATGAGTGATCCAGAATCCTGCACAATAAAACTGGAAGATGTTGAAGAGCAAACAGGTTGGTGATTATTCCTGATTCTTTTTCTTCTGGCCTTTTTTATAGAAGTAGTACCGTTGGCACCCTCAGGGGCAAAATGTTTTCAGAAGCTTGATGATGATGAATACAAGGAGAAACATTTTTAATCAATTGTAACATATTTGTTTGCACCACTGCAAAGGCAGGGTAGAAATGAGACATGCTCTAATATCCCCGTCTGAAAGGCAGACCATGTTATCAGTTTTTTCTCATTAACTGCAGGGAAAGAGGTAAACAAAATCCCTTATCAATTTCATAAACATCATAAAACCAGCTGTACGTGTAAAGCACAAATAATGTCTTTCAATTTGGTCACGTCCTTCATCCTTCAACCAATCTCAATCATTGTAAACTTCTTGCTTTTCTGTATGATCAGTTGCTCTGTTTTTTAGATGTTTGCTCCCTTTTTTTGCAGTCTGAAGTGCGTCGAACGCACAAAATGCTCAATTTACGCTACAGGATGTCTAATCCAATCTTTGAATTGACTTCACATGAAAATCACACGCACTTCATCCGCATTTGCTCACGGCACAGGCTGCAACAACCCCTGATTTAATTAGGATTTAATTAATAATTTAGCAGGATTGTAAAAATTTGTGACTATTTGTTGATTTTGCGCTGGATTCAGCAATCGTGGAATCACTAAAAACTAGAGGGCCAGATAAAATGAGTTAAGGCATTGTTCTGATGTTGTTTCCTTTTGCATTTCTTTCTTTTTTTTTATCTATGATGTTTTTCTTTTAATCGTTTTTACTTTTGTTTTAGACCTGCTAAATGAAAACAAAGAGGAGGAACCGATTAAAAGGGGAGAGAAAAATGACATCAAAACTGCAGAAAAACTGTCATTGAAAAAAAAAGTGAACCTTAAACTTCACATGAAGATTCATAAAGAAATGAAGCCACACACATCTGACAAGATTTCCACAGGAGAAGAAGCCCTTACAGATAACATGAAAATCCACTCTGAGGATACAGTGAACGATTGTGATGAGACTTTCACAAATACGGGAGATCTTAACACACAAGTCTTAACTCACACTGGAAAGAAAGTGTACACATGTGATTTATGTGGGAAGAGTTTTCGTGATCCAAGTACATTAAAAATCCATCATAAAAGACACAAAGGTTTGAGGGATCAGGTTTGCTCTACATGTGGCAAGACCTTTTTTACAAATAGCGCTTTAAAAGATCACCAGTTAGTTCACTCTACAGAAACGCCTTATAAATGTTCATACTGTGACAAAAGATTCAAACGGTTACAATATGTGAAAATACATGAGAGAATCCACTCTGGAATACAGCCGTACACCTGTGATCAGTGCGGGAAGAGTTTCAAATATAAAAGAGCTCTAGCTTTACACGGCATAATCCACACCGGAGAGAAGCCGTTCACATGTGATCATTGCGAGGCGAGTTTTGCCAGAAGGGACGGCCTTGTTAATCATAAGAAACTCCACACCGGAGAGAATATGCACAAATGTGATCAGTGTGGGAAAAGTTTCAGAAGGTTTAGTGTTTTTAAAGAGCATCTGCTGACTCATACTAGAGAGAGAATCTATAAATGCGACCAGTGCGATAAAAGCTTTTTTAGGCCAGGTTTCCTAAGGGACCACCTAAAAGTTCATACAGATGAGAGGCCATACGTGTGTTATTTGTGTGGGAGGAGTTTTCGTTATACAAGTGCATTAAAGTTACACCAGAAAAGGCACGGCGGTGTGAAGGATCATGCTTGCTCTGAGTGTGGGAAGACTTTCATTACGCATAAAGCTCTAAAAGATCACCAGTCAGTTCACACTACAGAAACGCCTTATAAATGTTCATACTGTGACAAGAGATTCAAACGGTTACGATATCTGAAAATACACGAGAAGATCCACACTGGAGAACAGCCATACCAGTGTAATTTATGTGGGAAAAGGTTCACTTATTCTGCTACTCTGTACAGTCATAAAAAACGAGCATGTGTGAAAACAGAGTAAGCAGTTTTGAGTTCTGATCTTGTGCATTTTAATGTGATTCTGCCTAGAGCTGATAGTTTTGATAATTGATCACGTTTTGTAGTTGGTTAGAATGTACCAGTTGTAACTTAATAAAACAAGATAATCATTTCTGCTTTTGAGCTTATATATTTTTTAGTAGTTCTAGATGCCGGTTATGGTCTTGCATGTTTTCTTCAGATGTCATCAATGCACCAACTGGCAAGGGAAAAATAGTTCAGGCATACAAGACTTTAAAATGCATTCAATTGTTGTTAACATTAATGTAAATAAGAAGCACCCCAGTTATTTAGAACTCTTAATCCTCTGAATTTAGTGTAGAATTATGGGTTGTCAAAAAATTAAATAGAATCATTTTTTTTTCTATTTTTATTGACAGAGTAAAAGGTAAAACCACCAAACTATTAGTAGGTGCAGAATTCACCTATCTTACTGAGATTTATTCTTGGTTTGTTTATTTATTTATTTATAGTTTACATCGTTTCCTGTAATGCATCAGCTGTGTTTAAAATTAAACCCATGAAAACCTCTATATTCAAATTACCCAATATACTAATATCTACAAATATGAGGTATATATCACAATACACCACAGGTTACTCTAGAAAAACTAAAGTATACTCAGAGTATCCGTGGGGTCTTAAAAAGTCTTTAATTTAAAAAACACAATTTTAGGCCCTAAAAAGTCTTAAATTCACTTAAATATTGTGATGTGTGTCTTAAATCATTTTAAACAGGTCTTAATTTTCCTTTGTCCAAGTAAAGCTACCTAATTGAGCCGGAATCCATCCAGTCACCATCGATTCATCCTAATAAAATCAGGGAAAGAAAACTAAAAACAATTACACAATTTCCTCATGATAATATCAGAGCCTTTACATTATCCTTTACACTATCTCATTCGTGCAAAAAATAATATTATAATAAATAAATAAAAAAATAAGGGGGAGTAGACATAATACATGTAAATAGGCATGAAACTTAAGGTTTTATAACAGAAATGCATTAGGTTGAATAGAAGTTACACTCAACCAATTTGGACCAAAAGCCAACAAATATGTTTTTGATTATTTATGTATAAATATACTTTTAACCATGTATGTTTAACAATTATCATTTAAAAAAAAAGTAATATTATGTTCAAACTAGTGCATGCAACTAGAGTTCTCTTGTTTTGACACATTAAAGTGTCGCTAAAAAATAATTTCCATTCAATTTTTTTTTTTCCTGTGTCAAGCAAAAAAAATATTTGAAAAATCCATTTGGCAAAACTGGGCCATTAGAAATACTAATTAGGGTTTAGTCTTAAATAAGTCTAAAATTTAATTTATATTGGTCCTAAAAGGGTCTTAAAAAGTCCTAAAGTTGGCTTGATAAAACGTGCAGAAACCCTGTACATAAAGCATTACAGTTCATGATAGGTACTATAGTGTGGTTCCAAAACACAAGTGTTTGCTAAAAATTTCTATAGGAGTTTCAATGTGGGTAAGTTGTTAAAAACGTATTGTTTTACAAAGGTAACTTTCTACAAAAATGTATTTTATGCTACTTGTATTATAGGTTACTAAATTAAACATGGTTTTATAACCATAAGTATGGTTTAACTGTTTTTTTAAATGGTAAAAATACATAACTACAAAATTAACAATGTAACTTTTGTCACCTTTGTTGCCTGTTAGCGTTTAAAAATTAATTTAACAGCTTTTCTTAACTTCTAGGTTTAGGGTAATAAAATATGCAGTGCAAGTAATTTAGGCACACGTTGATTATTTTGGTGCAACGTATCTAGCGATAGGTGGCGCTAATGAACCTATACATCTGCGATCCGCAGCCATGAAACAAAATTAGAAGTAGCCATCACAATCACCAGCGCAACGCAACGCCGAGTCTTCAGAGCTTGAGGTAATCGATTTTCACATCTTTATGAAAACATTTATGTTGAAATATTATGTTACTGGGCGATTTCTGTATTGTTGTCATGAGGTAGTGCTATATTAGCGTCTTTTCTGGCGCATGCTAACTGAAAGAAACATTCACCTCAGAAAACGTTAACTGAAAAATTAATGTTAAATTCATTAACGTGTTCAACTTAAGTCGTCGTTCATTTACTCAAGGAGAGTTATGCTTGGGTTTGGTTACTGAAATTGAAAACATTTCACATTAATAAAATATTGGTACTACTATTTGTTTCCCAAGTCATGATTTTACTGAGTCTAAAATGCTCAAATATTTATATACAAATTAACATAAAGGTAGACCAAGCACAATGTTTGTGTTTTCACGATCTGTTATATTTTCAGACAACAAGATTATCAATGATAAAGTCTAAAACAGGATCTACATCCTCCACTGGGGATGAATCTGCTGAAATATTAGATTATTTAACAGCAAATAAAACAACAGTAAGTCAAAAATTCTCAGCAGTTTTTACTGTCGACTGTATCTGCAGTTTATGTATTGTGTCATTTATTATTTTTTTAACTGTCCAAAAGAACTGATTTACAGGCAGGAGCCAATCTTCATATTGTTATAAAGTTAATAACTGATTTATGTTTGATTTTTGCAGATTTTCTTCTCCAACCACATAGCAATTCTCCTTCAGTGAAGCTCATATTACTTTGTCAGTAATTGATGAAATATCGCCATCAACCAGCAAGTGAAGAATAGTTTATGAGGGCACAGTGAGAATATGAGTGATCCAGAATCCTGCACAATAAAACTGGAAGATGTTGAAGAACAAACAGGTTGGTGATTATTCCTGATTCTTTTTCTCTGGCCTTTTTAATACTAGTAGTACCATTTGCATACTTTGGTGCATATTTTTTCAGAAGCTCGATGATGATGAAAACAATAGCAACATTTTTAATAAATTGTAGCATATTTGTTTGAACCACTGCCTCCTGCAAAGGCAGGGCAGAAATGAGACATGCACTAATATCCCCGTCTGAAAGGCAGACCATGTGATCGAAAGTGAAGAAAAGTAATTTCGATGGGGAAGATTATTGAAATTGATAAAAAACTTTGAGGGCAAATTAATGTTTACAAAATAATGAATGGCACAGACACATAGTTTATAACAAGCACTACTATATACAGTTGAAGTCAGAATTATTAGCCCCCTTTATTTATTTATTTATTTAAATATTTCCCAAATGATGTTTAACAGAGCAAGGACATTTTTATTGTATGTCTGATAATATTTTTTCTTCTGGAGAAAGTCTTATTTGTTTTATTTCGGCTAGAATTAAAACTGTTTCTAATTTTTTAAACTCAATTTTAGGGACAAAATTATCAGCCCCTTTAAGCTATATTTTTTCTCGATAATCTACGGAACAAACCACTGTTATACAATAACTTGCCTAATTACCTTAACCTGCCTAATTAACCGAGGTAAGCCTTTAAATGTCACTTTGAGCTGTATAGAAGTGTCTTGAAAAATATCTAGTCAAATATTATTTACAGTCATCATGGCAAAAATAAAATAGATGAGTTATTAGAGATGAGTTATTAAAACTATTATGTTTAGAAATGTGCTGAAAAAAAATTGCTCTCCGTTAAACAGAAATTGGGGAAAAATAAACAAGCTGTCTAAAAATTTAGGGTGGCTAATAATTCTGACTTCAACTGTACATGTAAACATTTAAACAGTACATTTAAACAAGGTGTGCTCAACCCTGTTCCTGAAAATCTACTTTCTCGCAGAGTTTAGCTACAACCTTGATCAAACACATCTGTCTTTAATTACCAAGTGATCCTTCTGATCCTACTTAATTGATTTAGATGCATTTGATCAGGGTTAGAGCTGAACTCTGCAACCTTTAAGCATCAATTAAAAAATCTTTTTCTGGCATGGAAACACATTCTATATTTAACCCTGTAGCAGCTTTACTGAAGAAAAACTCCTCTACTTAAAAGTGAAGGCAATAGAGGCTCACAATAACCCATAAGAGGCAGTCATTTTTTTGTGTGTGTACATCGCAGTTGCTAAAAACTATCAACAATTGACGCAACAAAGAGGACGTCACCTGGCCAAATCTGTAGACAGATGTTATTCGCCCAGTCTAGTGTCTCGCACACACAGTTAGATTTTAATGTTCATGCACATTAGGGATAGGCAGTATGATGGTATTTATTATTACCGTGCAGTAAATTAATCATAATAGATGTTTTTTATTTCATGTATACCACAAAATTTAAATAAGCGAACATGGCTAACTCACATGCTTGAACAAGATGCTGCTCATAAGACTGAAGGAAGCACTGACTCAGTTGTTCATAGTAAGATCAGGTCATCAATCCGAGGTGAACTTTTAGCTGTGATTTACATTAACTGCTTCACTCTGTGTACAGAATAACTCGGTGTACAATATCCCTCAGTAATTTAAACATTCACTTGTGTAGCGCTACAACCTCTTTTGACTAGCAACCTACCCCACGTCCTAAAGTAAACATGACTGATTGAAATTGGGCACTGTGAAACAGGAAAATGAAAGTAAAATACACATATAATATGAAGTTGTCATGAAATGACTTAAGGCATTTTTCTGATGTTGTTTCCTTTTGTATTTCTCTCTCTTTTTTATTTATGATGTTTTTCTTTTAAATCTTTTTTTACTTTAGTTTTAGACCTGCTGAATGAAAACAAAGAGAAGGAAGAACCGACTAAAAGTGGAGAGAAAAATGACATTAAATCCGCAGAAAAACTGCAGGATCCCTTATTGAAAGTAAAAGACAATCTATCTTTCACATGCCTTCAGTGTAAAAGGAACTTTTTGTGTGAGGAAAGTCTTAATCTTCACATGAAGATCCATAGAGAAGTGAAGCCACACACATCTGATCAATGTGAGAGGATTCCCACAGAAGAAGAAGCCCTTACGGATAACATGAAAATCCACACTGAGGAGGATACAGTCGGAAAGAAAGCGCACACATGTGATTTATGTGGGAAGAGTTTTCGTAAAACAGGTGATTTAAACATACATCAGAAAAGGCACAAAGGTTTGAGGGATCATGTTTGCTCCGAGTGTGGCAAGACCTTTTATACAAAAAGCTGTTTAAAAAATCACCAGAAAGTTCACTCTACAGAAACGCCTTATAAATGTTCATACTGTGAGAAAAGATTCAAACGGTCAATATATGTGAAAATACATGAGAAAATCCACACTGGAACACAGCCGTACACCTGTGATCAGTGCGGGAAGAGTTTCAGATATAAAAGAGCTCTAGGCATACACAGCACAATCCACACCGGAGAGAAGCCGTTCACATGTGATCATTGCGAGGCGAGTTTTGCCAGAAAGGACAGCCTTGCTAATCACATGAAACTCCACACCGGAGAGAATATGCACAAATGTGATCAGTGTGGGAAAAGTTTCAGAAGATACGATGTTTTTAAAGCACATCTGCTTAGTCATTCTAGAGAAAGAATCTATAAATGCGACCAGTGCGATAAAAGCTTTTTTAGGCTGGATTTCCTGAGGGACCACCTAAAAATTCATACAGATGAGAGGCCATACGTGTGTTATTTGTGTGGTAGAAGTTTTCGCTTTATGAGTGCATTAAAATCACACCAGAAAAGGCACGACGGTGTGAAGGATCATATTTGCTCTGAGTGTGGGAAGACTTTCATTACATATAAAGCCTTAAAAGCACACCAGTCAACTCACTCTACAGAAACGCCTTATAAATGTTCACACTGTGACAAGAGTTTCAAAAAGTCACAATATCTGAAAATACATGAGAAGAGCCACACTGGAGAACAGCCATACCAGTGTAATTTATGTGGGAAAAGGTTTACTTATTCTACTTCTCTGTACGGTCATAAAAAACGTGCATGTGTGAAAGCACAGTAAGTAGTTTTGAGTTCTGATTCTGTGTATTTTCATGTGATTCTGCCTAGAGTTAATAATTTTTTATAATTGACTAGCGGAGCATAACCAGGTATGAAGCCGAGCATCTGGTGATGTCTATGCATTCCAGACTTGAGGCTGTAATTTACTGCAAAGGATTTGCAACCAAGTATTAAAAAAATAAAAGTTTGATCTATGATTATTATTCTGTCCCATTACTTTTGGTTCCTTAACAAGTGGGAGGCACATATACAAACTGTTGTAATTTCTACACTGTTAACCTGATTCAGACGTAAATACACTCAAAATAAAGCTGACATTCTGCAGTGAATGCACATCTTGTTCGTTTAATTTCAAACCCATTGTGTTGGTGTTATACAGAGCCAAAAATGTTAGAATTTTGTTGATATATATGGACCTGACCGTATATATGTTTCTTTATTTAACTAGGTAAAAACCCATTGAGATCAAGATCTCATTTACAAGGGTGACCTGGCCAAGAGGTCTGCAACACATGATTTATAAAAAAAAACAAAATAGTAATAATAATATTAATAATAAATAGAAAATTAATATAATATAAAAATACAGTTCAGTTGTTCAGCTTTACCACATTTCAATATATTAAAAACACATACACTGAGAAATGGACTGTTGTTTGTTAAAAAGGATAGAGCAAAACGATGTCGCTCAGACATTTTTAGTTCAGACTGAAGAGCATTCCAGGATGAGGGGGCGGCATGACTAAAAGCTCGCTTCCCTATTTCAGTTCGAACCCAGGGAACAGTCACATGATAAGATTCACTTGAACGTAGGGTATACCAGCTTTTAGACTTATAAAGAAGGGAACATAGGTGTTAAGGCACCAGTATATGAAAAATAGCCCAGTCATTTTTTGTCATTATTTTTATAGACAGTGTAAAAGGTAAGACCACTAAACTATTAGTATTTCACTTTTCTTATTGAAATGTAGTCCCCGTTCAAATTATTTATTTTTATTTATTTTAAATTAAACATGAAAACCCAGTACTGATGCAGAGGACATTTTAATAATCATGAAATTATATTTTGGAGTACTATAACTATCATTATAACCGCCTATTTCAGGTCAACTTTTTCATTATATTTATATTTTTTGTTTTATGTATTGAAAATAATGAAATAAAGGCATCACAAATAATTTTGTGTCTGAACAATTACTGACTTGTAAAAGCTGAGAATAATTTGGTGATTTGATAACAATAAACTACAAATATAATTAAAAAGATATTTTAAAATAAGTTTTTTTTTTGATGTTTTGTTTTTAAGTTCTTGCTGCTAGTAGCCTACCTAAATTAGAATCCAGATTTGCAGGTGAGTGAAAAAGTTTTTCAAATCATGTTGATCAATATTATCAGCACATAATCAAATTAGACTTTTTTTTTAAATTTAGATTGGTAAAGCTTTTTTTATATGTAGTTTTGTACGAAATCGTCTGCAGCACTGTGGGAATTCATGTTTTAATTATTGGGGAACTTTGGTCTTTCATCATACGGTAGGCTAATCTGCTTTTACCAGAAACCCTTTGCAAACACAGAGGTCGTTTGCCTAACTGAAGATTCTGTTTGGTCAGAAAACTGTCAAACAGCTCGTTTACACATCTGTAACTATGATCACCTGAAAATGGGCAATTAACCCCCAAAAGCAACAAAGATGGATTAAACTCAGAAATCTGTTTTGGTTTGTAAAACAACATTTGGCGCATTATTCAAACCTTGGGGCTTCTGAGGTGAGTTAGCTAAAAACTAACAAGTTGAACAGTTTATGGTTCGTAGGCTAGTGCTATACTTGTTTGATGATTATAAACATTTCAATTGGATCTAGGCATGGGACGATACTGTTTTAAAGGTATACAGCGGTTTGAAAAGTCAAGGTTTTTAAACCACCAATTTCTGCTATACCATTTGTAAGACAGCTGTTTTTTTTGTTGTTGTTGTTGTTTTAGGACAAAAATATCTCCAGCAGAAATATATAAAACATGCAGTTTTAAATTGTTTTTGTTTTAACCCAGACATTTAAAAAGAATATAATTTAGAGCTGTAATCACAATACCTGAAACTGTGAAATTTTTATCTAAGGATATCATATCAGAATTGTATACCAGACAAAAAATGTAATAATTTATTCACCCTTTTTCAACAATTTGAAATTTAAAAGGTTATCTCAAAGCCGTGACTTAAATCTTGGCATCTGATTACTTTTTTGTTTATATTAGTTCTGAATGATTTGGCTGTAAGATATTGCTGTAATTGTGAAAGAAATAGTTTCAATCTCTGGAAAATATACATTTGTGGGTACAATGAATAACAAATGCTTTTAATAATGATTACATGGTGAAAAATATACACGAAGAGTAAATGTAAAAACAGACTGTTCTTTATTGGCATAAAAGATAAACAAAACACTTCAAGAAAAGAAGACAAGATGTGGATATTTCAACCACAAAAATAAAAACGTGAAAACCTTTTCCAGGTTCCTGAGATGAAAATACAATCATTTCCAACTTCATAATGTAAAATAATCTAGGTTATCTAATAGGCTACTAATATTATAAAAGCATAGGGTTAAGAGAAATCGTTATATTGAGGGAGGAGTTGAGTTGTTCTGAATCTTACACTTGAAACAACAACTATCAATGATATTTCTGTTATGAATCATACAAAAAATGCAGCTTTTATAAACATAATTTGACACATTTTGAAGTTCAATGTGATTTTTAAACCATGTTTTTTTTATGTTTGACTTGAACAGAAGAAAAACTCTTCCCACATGAAGGGCAGACCGCTTACTTCATTGTTAATCCTCTTCTGAGCTTTCAGATGGATCGCTCCTCACAGTGTGGGTCTTCTCGTGGTTTTTCACATAATCTAACCGCTTGAATGTCATGTCGCAGTGTAAACACTTGTAGAACTCTCCTCCTGAATGAACTTTCTGGTGCAGCTTCAGTTCATTCTTCGTAAAATAGGTCTTCCCACAATCAAAGCACATGTGATTCTTTACACCGGTGTGTCTTTTCTGGTGTGATCGTAAACTATTTGCCAGACGGAAACCTTTACCGCAGACGGAGCACTTATGAGGCTTCTCCTCTGAATGAGTTTTCAGGTGGTTCTTCAGGCATGATTCCCAAGTAAAGCCTTTGCCGCACTTCTCACAGCGATATGGTCTGATTACAGAATGGGTGGCCAGATGTAATTTAAGCAAGCTTAACCTACTGAATCTCTTCCCGCACTGATCACACGTGTGCGGCTTCTCTCCAGTGTGGATCTTCATGTGTTCATTAAGGCTTGTTTTAAGTGTGAAACTCTTCCCGCATTGATCGCATGTGTGCGGTTTCTCTGCATTGTGAAATTTCTTGTGAATTCTAAGGCTTGCTTTTTGTGTAAAACTCTTCCCGCATTGATCACAAGTGTATGATTTCTCTCCCGTGTGGATTCGCTTGTGAGACTCGAGGGCGTGTGTGTGTCTAAACGCGTGCCCACATTGATCACACGAGTACGGCCTTTCTCCAGTGTGGATCCTCTCATGTACTACTTTAGACGATCCGTTACTGAATCTCTTGTCACAGTGTGAACACTTGTACGGTTTTTCTCCGGTGTGAACTCTCTGGTGCTGTTTCAGTTCACAATTTCTTACAAAGGTCTTCCCGCACTCAAAACACATGAAGTTCTTCACTTCGTGTCTTTTCTTGTGTTTTTTTAAAAGAATCAATTGAGCAAAGCTCTTTCCGCACACAGAACACACGTGAGTCTCTTTCTTGCCATGAGTTTTCAGGTGGTCCCTCAGACTAGATAACCAACGAAAACTGTCACCGCAATGATCACACTTGAATGGTTTTTCTTCAGAATGAACTGCAGCGTGGGATTTAAGGCTACTTGCAAGTCCAAAACTTTTACCGCACTGATCACACGTGTGCGGCTTCTCTCCGGAGTGAATGATCATGTGTCTCTTAATGTATCCGCTACTCGAAAAACTCTTCCCACACTCTTTGCACGAGAACGGTTTCTCTCCAGTGTGGATTTTCACGTGAGCAGTAAGGCCACTTTTTCGTGCAAATTTCTTCCCACACTGAGGACACTTGAAAGTCTTTTGGGCACTTTTAGTTTGTGATGTTTTTGGTGTTTTGACATGACGCCGCTTCTTTTCCACTTCACTCATTTCTTCACTCTCCTCGCTCTCTTCCATCAGATCTACAATGAAAAATAATACATTTTCATGTTTAAATCATTTAAAACAAAGAGAAGTAGTAAAACAGTAGCAACAGAAACTATGCAAGCTCAGCAGGGGCGAACCAATATGCAAGGTAAGCAGCCACTAAGGGCCCCGGGGAATTAGGGGGCTTTGACCAATCCCAAGAAGCCTATATTAATCATATAAAGCTGAAGTCAAAATTATTAAACCCCCTAAATTATAATCCCTTGGTTAATTATTTTTTTTCCCAATTTCTGTTTAACGAAGAGATTTCTTCAACATTTTCGACATTATTTTTAATAAATAATAGTGATAAATAAGTGAAATTACATGTATATACAGTTAAAGTTTGAATTCTTATTGCCCCTTTTTTTTGTTCTTAATTTCTGTTTAATGTAAATACGATTTTTTCAGCACATTTCTAAAAATAATAGTTTTAATAACTCATTACTAATAACTGGTTTATTTTATCTTTGCCATGATGACAGTAAATAATATTTGACTAGATATTTTTCAAGACACTTCTATACAGCTTAAAGAGACATTTAAAGGCTTAACCAGGTTAATTAGGTTAACTAGGCAGGTTAGGGTAATTAGGCAAGTTATTGTATAACGATGGTATGTTCTGTAGACTATCAAAAAAATTGCTAAAAGGGTCTAATAATTTTGACCTTAAAATTTATTTATTTATTTTTAAATAAAAATTGCTTTTATTCTAGCTAAAATAAAACAAATAATACTTTCTCCAGAAGAAAAAATATTATCAGACATACTGTGAAAATGTCCTTACATCATTTGGGAAATGTTTAAAAAAGAAATCAAAGGGGGGCTAATAATTCTAATTTCAACTGCAGCTTTTTTATTTTATAAATTTACCATCATATGTTGTAAATCTTTCTATAACCATTAGGGTTATTACTTCCTATCAAAACCTGGGGCCCCATGAATAGTGGAACTTTACGATATTTTAATTTAATTTTACATTAGGTAGATAGAGGTTCCATGTATATAAATGTATTTTTAACATGCAGGTTATTAACGTCATAAAAAGGAATCTACATTAAAAAATAGGGCCCCATACTGGAATTTGCTTTGGGCCCCCTAACGCTCAGCAAGCTTTGTAAGGCTTCCTGTAAAGTCTGTCTAATCTCTCTTTTTGACTAGTCCATTTTTTTAATACTATTTTTTAGATAAAAGTCGAAAGTCACAGCCCAAATTTAGCCTATAGTTTTAGTTAATAAATCTATATTTTGACATCTACAAGATGACATAAAAGCATTTGGTCGCTGTAATTTTCCATTTAAGTAAGCCAACTGAAACACTTATAGTGAACTATCATGCCATTTTAAACTTTCCACATTTAAGATCTTCTTTGTTTAAAATGAATGATCTACACTGCCTTAATGGGACACAATTTTAAGTGGCAAGCATTAAGTTGCATTGTGTCATGCAGGTCACATCTTTTAAAACGAATAAACATTTATTTTACCTCAGTATCTTCTACATCAGGGGTTCCCAAACTTTTCAACCCACGACCCCCAAAACAATGATGTCAGTGACTTGGGACCCCCATTTTTCATGGTGGTTATACTTTAAAAATACACAACTATAGGCATAAATAAACATGAGCATATTGACAACATACAAATGCAACAGTCTAATAACCGTATAATGTTTTTTGTAGTCATTCATTAATTTAATTTAAACAAAAAAATTAAAGGCTGATGGCTGATTTTTGTTTGTATGTTGTTGTTGTTGTTTCTTTAACATAACTATTAACTATCTTCTGTAGTTTATGAATAAAATATGGTAATTCTAATAGTTTACTCAAATTTATTTGAGTTTTGGAAATCACTAAGCGACCCCTTGTCATTGTCCCGCGACCCCCCCAAGGGGTCCCGACCCCCACTTTGAGAACCACTGTTCTACATCAATGGTCTCAAACCCAATCCTTGGAGGGCCACAGCTTTACATAATTTAGCTCCAAGCACATCCAATTCACACCTGCTTAACAGTCTCTAGTATTTTTGAACGCCTTGATTAGTTAGATCAGCTGAGTTTGATCATGGTTGGAGCAAAACTATGCAGAGCTGCGGCCCTCAGGGAATCAAGTTTGAGACCCATGTTCTAAATGAAGAGATCAACTGCAAAAACATCTGAATGTTCTCCTACAATGAGCATTTTTTTTCATAGTCTCTTATGTTTATGCTTTATTATTTCACTAATTAATCGCATATAAGTTATATCTCTGAGCCTACACACAAGAGTCTGAGAAAAAATGCACATTTTAGAAGAAAATATTAAATGGCGTTTAGAGGTTTTTGCATCCAAACTCTTCACATATTGTCAGTGCTTAACTGCTTCCTACAGCACTTACATTTAAACATGTTTTCATCTCATTTTAAACTAGAACAATTTAATACATGCTTATATCTGTTTGACTCTATTTAGATTATGATATTAATACACCATTGATGCCATTGAAGGAACCTTGTGATATAGGTAAGATAAGAAATAATGAACAAAGTCTTTGGCTTAATGATAAAGTTTAATGGCTTAAAAATGCTCTTTGCATGTGGTCAATTATAAAAAAAGACATTGTTAATTACAGAAAAACGATCTGGCAAAATTATTTTGATATCTTATTTCATTTTAAATATTCCATCTTTACTACTAGATGCTTATAAAATCATGCAATTTATAAACTATGTAAAATTTAACAACATGATTAAAAAAATGTGAACCAAAACAAATAACCAACACATCAGGTTCCTTTTTGAATCAACAAGGCCATTGCAAATGTCCTTTATGTAATTAATCTTACTTTTTATATTGCAAACCCTAAATCTAATAGCTGCTTGAAATTCTATAACATAAATGTCTAGTCAAGAATAAAAACCTACCACTTAGGTCTTCTTGGTCCATTATGCTGGTTTCTGGATCACTCATTTTCTCTGTGTTCTCCCTCCACTTGCAGACTGACAAGAATCTTCCGGTATTTATAGGCAAACTGCAGTGGGAGGAGCTTCTCTGAAGGAAAATAATTTTGTGGTGGGAGGAGCAAATATGTCAGAATCAACACTAAAGACATTTTATTTGAGTAAAAACTTAAATGTTTACTTATCAAAAAGTTCACTGAATTTATTTCACAACATATTCATTAGATTTTACTTTATTGTCATTACACATGTACAAGGCAAGGAAATGCAGTTTAGATCTAACCAAGAGTGCAATATAGCAGCAAGTGCAAATGTACACATTATATACAAGTTGTATTAACTATGAACAGATATTTACAATAGATGAATATATGTACAGGTTGCTAATAATAGTTTAAAAACCAGAGGTATGCAGATAGATATTAACATAATTACAAGCAACGTGTTTTGGTGCATTTAAACAAAACAGATTCAATAAACAGATATATTTATTAAAATAATATTTTAGTCACCAAACAGATTTAGATATTGAAAGACATTACAATCAAATGTAAGCAAAATATTGCAATATACAACCTACAAAATTTCAACAATTAATTTTTTTTGCTTCTTTTGATTTTTCCTCTTTTTTACATTTCTTTTTAATATTTTTCTCTAACATATCAATTTGAGTGTATTAGTTTTGGCACCGTTATTGTAGGTTGTTTTGTTAGATATGCTCCAGATTGGGTTTCAGTACTGACTAATCTATTGTATATGCACAAATATAATACTGTATAGCTTTCTATTAAAAATATGAATGTAAAAGATAGATTTGTGAGGGGTGTACTTATATATGCTGAGCATTGTATATGTACAGTAGGCATGTACAATTCAAGAAGAATTTGTTAAATTTACATTTATTGAGTTAAGCCATTTTTATGGCTTTTATTAAAATGTGGGCAAATTGTGTGTGTGTGTGTGTGTGTGTGTGTGTATATATATATATATATATATATATATATATATATATATATATATATATATATATATATATATATATATATATATATATATATTTATAGCTTATGTATAAGCAAGATTAATCACCATGAAAGCAACAACATGTGACTTGGTTTGTTTATACCATATACATTATATTTTATTATTAAAATTCACATTAGGTTTCTGTTTTGCCAGGCTGTTTTTACACATCTATGGCATACATTTATTCTTAATATCCACGATAATAAGAATAAAAGAGTACTATATAATAATACATATATAGAAATATAATAATACTATATAATACATAGAAGAAGACTATAAATAGTCTAAAATAAACACTATAGAAATATAGGGTATTTACAAAATAGTATAAACGAGGTAAATCGCAGATTAGGACATAAACTAAAAAGGTCTATTCACATCAGTCTTACATGAATAAAATGAGGTTTAAGTGTCAGTTTACGGGTGATCTGCAGACATCAGCATGATGGATGAGGTGAAAACGGGAACTGTTGCTATGAATTTAAATAAGAAACATGGATAACAAAAAAGGAGAATGGACAGATAGTAATCTCTAGTCAAACCCTGCTTAAATACAACTCAAGCATGTGCAAATAAATTAACATAACTTTCTTTTTAGATGTTGTGGAACAGAATGACAGAAAAATCATGCTTAAAACTTGTAATTCCAGTTAAATTGTTTTGCAAGTGGTTCATGAAACAGCTAAAAAGCTCACTTGACAGTTAAACGTCATTACTATTATAGTCCCGCAACAAGAGAAAACCGCAAAAGTTTAACGCTTCAGACAATAATATTTAGCAATAGGTATATTTTTTTTCCATAAAATTATTTGTTAACCACTCACAATGAATAACATATTTTGTTATCAAAATATACTTACATATATTTGTCCGTCTTGATTAGTAAAGGGCTCAGCAACTCGCAAAGTGGAGATTTTATTCTTTGGTTCAGCCCGCCCGCCTATACCAACATAGCAACATCAAGGGGGAGGGCAGATGCAACAAATAGATATTAGATTTGTTTTATTGATTTATATAATAAATATTTGTTTTATTATTGTTATTATCGCAGTGATAAGTTAATTAGTATGTTTACTTAAAGTAGATAGGTCGTTAACATTTTGTCTGCCTAAAATGTTAATGTGTGTATCTCCCCTATAAAATGTGAATGTTTAGTTCTCTTCTGTTGGTGTACAAGTGTACTTGGATACATTGCAAACAATAATTTATTCAGTGTACGTTAGTTCTTTAAAATTATCTGATGAAAATACGCGTTTATGATGTCTAAAGTTAACTACACAAATATTGTGTACTTTTAGAAGCGGAGTTAGTTATGACTGCAGGAGTTTTATGATATAAATAGCAACCACTACAAGTACATTCTATTCAGTGTGAATGTAGTTTATAACCAAGTAATTTCGCCTACTTTTAAAAACTCCGATATAACCTTATCAGATGCTGTTAGATTCAGGATGCAGCCCCCACTCCGTCTCCTGACGGTGACGTCACAATCAACGCGCCGTTTCAGTCAGTTGAGGTCTGCTGGGGTGAGATAGCGTTGTGGCTTTTATTTACATGATAACTGCTGTTTTGTCCTTTCTCTTTTGTTCAATTAGGTCATTAACTATTTGTCTGCATATTGAAACCGTTAAAACGGAGATTATACAAACCTAGATTATATAATAGTAAACAGTACGTCAAAACATGGTTACTGTACGTTTACTACAACAAAAACTCGCTTCTTTGTTGTAAGGTAAGACATGTGCAAAAAGCTTCAATATCTATGAAAACCCTTAGGTAAATTAGCTGTTGTTTAGTAGTCGTAAAGTTGTAGCTGTTTTTCTCCACATTAGCTGCCATTGTTTGACAACGGTTTTATTACAAATCACATGGTTAAACTATAACGTTAGTTTATTTAACAATATCTGAGGCTATTGTGCCTTATATGGACTATTTATCAATTTACTAATTTACAATCTTTATTGTGTCTGATTATTTCAGCATTGAATATATACCTCTCACTCTGTGATTTGTAAAGTCAGAGTAAATGTGAATGAAGATAACAGACCAAAACGTTTTGAAGTGGTAATCTTCGCATTTTATTATTTAGCAGACACCTTTGTTCAAAGAAACTCACAAATGAGTGCAATAAAATCTGCAAATTATTTCTGTGGGGAACAAAATGTAAACAGTAATGGGTAATGAACAAGTAGGTGTGAAGCTTTGAAAAATAATTGCAGTTGCATTTTGATTGATGAAGTGTTATTGTGTAAATGCTTTAAATGTGTAACTTTTTTTTGCAGATCTTTGCTTCTGCTAGAACTCTCACAAGTGAAGTAAAAAGGTTTTGAGGGCACAAATGATCTAGAATCCTGAAAAGAATCACAAAGCATCCAAAAAATAGGAGGTTGGTGTTTATTTTTTTATTAATTATAAAATATTCTAAAGAACAGGCTATAATAGACTGTAAAACCATGAATGTCCCAACATACCATTTTAAGTTCAAAGTTCACGTTATGTACAAACCTAATTCCATAAAAGTTTTTTGTTTTTTAATGTGCTTTTTTGTGGCAAATTAAAATGTCTCCACAGCCTGCATTTGAACAAATATCGCAGTAAAGCCAACATTTTATGAGTTGGATTTCTGGAGCCTATGTAAGCTGTACAATTCAACATGTATTCAAATAAAATTAAAAATTTACTAATAAATGTAATATACAAACAGTTTTATTTTTCAGGTACAGTAGGTACATTTAGCAGTAGTGTTTAAGAAATTATATGAAAACATCCTAAAATACGTAGATAATTTTAACAATAAAAGCATTACTGACCCCCCCAAAAAAATACTGTAATAGTTTAATCACTCTAAAGTTGTTTTAAACGTGAATCCTTCCTTTCTTTCCAATGAACGTAAGTTATTTTGAAGAATGTGGGAAACCAAGCAGTTGGTTATGCCCACTGACATCCATAATATGGTTTCCTGCTATCAACAGCCTGCAACTTTTTTCACATTCACCCACATTTTTCAGTAAATCTAATTTTGTGCTTAACGCAAGAAATTAACACCTTGTTAGAGTGAACAAATATTGAAACAAATAAAATATTTGAGTGTGCTATCCCTTAATGACAAGCAGCAGCATGTTTAGCCTATTTGCTTGCTGTCATTTTTAGACCTGCACACATTTAAATTAGAATCACACATTTAACTTTTTCTTAACTCTATATGTTCATTTTATACATAACGAAAAGTGTTTGCATGAAAACCTTGTGTCATTTTGACAGTTTTACTCAGGATTCCGACACTTTGTGAAAGTATTTCAAAGCCTAAATTTGAGACATATTAGACCTGGAACGTACTTAAAAACAAACTAAGGTTCTTGAAATTCAAATATAAGTCAAGTTATTATTTGTTATTCCTAAAACTTTAGTGACAAGACTTTTGTCATGTAGTGTACAATGTGTGCTGTAGCGTGATGCTACAACATTTCTTCAAGGGCAGACCATGGAGACAATTTAATCAGCCACAAACACAAATCGTCTTATTGCACAGCCCTCATTGTTCTTCTTGTTTCTCTGCAGACTAGATAGACGACAATGAGGAGAGTTAACAACTGAGCTAAGAAGAGGAGAAACATCATGATGTCAAAGCTGATGTGAGTCTTTCCTTCCTTCATCTTTTCCCCAAAACTAAACATCTGCATTCAGTGTGCAAAACGGAAACATGATGGAGCATGAGGAAAATCCCGAACAAAAGACATACCAATGTGATCTGTGTGGGTGGACTACTTTAAAACAAAAGCGCATGGACACTCACATGAAATTTCACTCTGGAAAGCCGCATGTATGTGATCAGTGCGGGAAGGGTTTCACAAGAAAAAGTGTCCTTAATGTGCACAAAAACATCCACACCGGAGAGAATCTGCACACGTGCGATCAGTGCGGGAAGAAATTCACACTGAAAACCACCCTCGAATCTCACAAAGCAATCCACTCTGAAGAGAAACCGCACACTTGTGATCAGTGCGGGAAGAATTTTGCTTCTCTTAAAAAGCTCAAATCGCATCTGCTTAGTCATTCTACTGAAAAACCGTTTGTGTGTGATGAGTGCGGTAGTGCGTTTAGTACAATAAGTAATCTGAATGAGCACAAGAAAATTCATTTAAAAGTGAAGCCTTACACGTGTTCCCTGTGCGGAATGAGTTTTCGCCATCGCTATAATTTCAATGTGCACCAGATAAGACACAGCGGCGTGAAGAATCAAGTGTGCTTTGTTTGCGGGAAGACTTTTGTTACAGATAGCGAAGTAAAACTGCATCAGAGGCTCCACACCGGAGAGAAGCCGTACAAGTGTTCGCACTGCGACAAGAACTTCAGTCGATCGTCTACTTTGAAAAAACATGAGCGGATCCACACTGGAGAAAAACCTTTCAAGTGTTCATACTGCGACAAGGGATGTAATCAGATGTCAGATCTGTTAAAGCACGAGAGGGTCCACACTGGAGAGAAGCCGTATAAGTGTTCACGCTGTGACAGGGGATTCAGTCAATCTGTTCAGCTGAAAAGACATGAGAAGAAAAAATGTATGAAGTCAGAGCAAGAAGTCACTCTTTAAAAGGTCAATCGTCAAGAAATCATTGATTGGATGCAACTCGGCATTACCAAACATGACTCAATAAAATCTGCTTCGTCACCGTTAATTTGTCCTAATTGGCAACAGGATAAGAGACCTCATTGAGTACATTTACATGGACACCCATAACTCGATTTTAATATGATTAAGACAAATCTCTGATTAAGAGTCTACCATGTAAACAGCGATTTTTTTTTTTTTTTTTTTTTTTTTTAGATTAATCCTATTCACCTTATTCTTTGCAGATGAGCAGGCGCAGCCATTGGAATCTCTTTGGCTCGAGACTTCCGGTCTCATTTACTTCCATTCATTTTTAGACGTTAAAAACTGCTCGTTATGCTGCTTGATGTGCAAACTGATATTTTCTTATTATATTATTTTAGTTGGTCTGTATAGTAATGCAAACATTTGTTTGTAGAGCAAGTAGTTTGGCTGTTTTCTGCCGTTTATTATTCCTAGTAATTTCTCGCATATGCAACTGTATCAGAAGTTCTAAAACAATCGCAAAAACAGGCGCACTTCCGCATTTTAGAATAAGGTCAATTAAGGTCATAATCAAACTAAACAGAAATCAGATGCAGATTATCACGCCCCATATTTAGGAGAAACAACATGGGCATAATAAACAAAAAAAAAAACAAAAAAAAAATGTGTTGGGGTGGTGGATTTCCCAAACAAAACAAAAACCTAATGCAAAAGATCCCCTTCGGTCAACAACCAAACTCGAACACTCAGTTAAGCGTAATTGAATAGATTTACTATAGAAAAAAGTACTAATTTTAAATGAGCATCTCTTCAGGGTTGCCACAGGCCAAATAACAAACAGAAGAATCTATTAAGTATATGAACTAAATTACCTAAAAATATTTTCTTCCTAAACATAAACATAGTTAAAAATACTCTCAAAAGAAGTTGAACGTATGAACAATGGTAACAAGATTGAATGTTGGTCGTCAGCCGAAGGGGTAAGGGAAATCCAGGTGCTCCACTCCCAACAACCTTCGCAACACAAATAAGCTCCCCGAACCCTGCCGGAAGCTCCTTTTTAAATAGGCTTTCGGGACCAGCAGCCAATCAGAGCACAAATCATGCTGGAATGGGAGCCTATAGGATAAAAAAAACACGGGACAATGAAAAAGACACATGCAATGCAATATAAAACAAAAATAATGATAAACTTTAGTGGTAACAGTGATTTTAGTCACATTATTCAAGTGCAGTACAGACATGAAATCCCTTTAATCAAACTATTACCATTGTGTAGGATTTTTGCTGTGTTTTGTGACAGGATAGTCTGTAGAGACACGGCTGTTTGACACTATTCTCTGCACCAACCGTGTCAGTGAAGGACCACAGTGTAACGACGGGGAGTGACACCAACAACAGAAGTTTGGATCCACATGCAGGTTTATTAGAATTGTCAGGCAAGCAGTGGTCAATACCGGCAAAGAGATGTATGAGGGCAATCCAGAGTCAAGGTCAAAACAACAGGCAGTTGGTCAGAGGCAGGCAGCAAACAGTATTAAATAAATAAACAAGGCAAAGATCAAAACATGGGAAAACAAGACCAGGATAACGCGTTGTAATGTCACCTTACAGATAAACAAGACTCTGCAAACTGAAGGGGTGAATGTGTGGCTTAAATAGTGTGTGTTAATCAGTCTCTGAAAGTCCTCAGGTGTGCTAATGTAATCAAGCTAGATGAGAAAGCAGGTGTGTGGGTGAAGAGCATGTATGAAGTTGAAGTCCATTAACTGGCAGATTTGTAGTTTCATGAGTGAGTGTTAACCAGCGACATCTGGTGGTTGTTCGCTGGTGAACATGACACACAGACACCTGCATCGCAAAATGCGGAGGGTTTTTATTCCCATACGGCATGCGGTATCAAATTAAAAAAAAAACAACACCATTCCTGCAGTTCATACTCTCATCTAATATCTCGTTTGTCGCAGGGGGCAAGCATGAACTATTCCTAAATGAAAGTGGAAGTGCCAAACTGCAGTTTAAGTCAACAAATTAAAAATGAAACACCCGAAATTACATAAAACTTCGGAGGAAATTCGTATAGTGTGGTGACGCAATGATGTTATTCGAATTACGTGCTATAACATGTAAATGGGATCATGAAAGGAACATTCAAAAAGCAACTCATGTAAATGCCTTAATCATATTATTGTCTTACTTAGATTAAGGTAAATAATTCCATTATTGATGTCCATGTAAACGTAGTCACTCAGAGATCTTCAGGTTCAAGTCTAAAGTTCACATCAGCTCGACGATTGAATGTGCCTGTATATAATTTTACTTCATTATATTATTCTAATTAGAGCTGCATATGATGGTCATCATCATTAGCACACTGTAATATTTTTTTTTTATTCTGTGTATACCGTGACTTGAAAGTAAGTGGGAGTGGCTAATTTGCATGCAAATATTTGATTAGATTGATATTTAGGTTGATCAATGGAGTACATTTGATATTTTCGAGGTTATAAGATGATGTATCAAAAGGTTTAACATACTTGTATACAATTTTTCTTCATTATATTTTTCTAATTAGGGCTGGGTATGATGGTATTCTGAAGCCAACATTTGAAGTGAATCAAAAAGTTAACCTGAGCTGTTTTTAGACAAGAACGGATGTTGTTTTGGTTTCAGGAATAAATTGTTAACTCTAATAATTATTAATAATTTTTAATTTTGTGTACTATAACATTTCAGCTAACTCGCATGCAGTGTCTGTAAGTGCCTGAACAAGACACTGTTTAAGAGACTGAATGAAGTGCTGACTGGACCAATTGTAGAAAGATCAGGTCAGCAATCTTACTTCTGATTGGTAGATGAACCTTTTTGGATTATCAAACTGCAAATGTGAGCTACTGTCCACCTGATGACCCATACACTTTTCTGGACACACAATTCAGACTACACGGTCCCGACGGGAAGTGAGGCAAACCACATATGGTTAATAATGGATCTGTTTCCGTTTTGTAGCCTTAAATGTAATACAAGGTATCCCAGCAAGGTTTAAGTGTGTAAAGTTTATTGGTTAGGATTTATATGTTCAAAATGTTTAACAATGCATTAAATGTACACACAATCCAGGCTGGAAGTGAGGCGAACTATGTATGGTTAATGACAGATCACTGGTTTTGTAGCATTAGATGTAATGTGAGCTATCTAAATAATGTTGATATGATTTGTATGTGTAACATGTTAATGATGCATGAATACAACAATGTTTGATTTCTTTGTTGATGTTTAATTTGATCAATGCAGTAAATTGTACAAATTTTGACTGTGTACGTTATGATGAAATATTTAGGTTATGTATGTTTTGTAACGTTTGGAAAAGAAGCTTGTGAGGCTCCACAAGGTTAAACATCTATTGCTTGTATCCATTTTGCAGTCAGTTTCATGTGTTTGATTAAAGTGTACTTCTTTATTTGTAAATGCTGAAAAATAAAGCCATTTTTCTACTCCAAGTATAATATGTATTTATTATTTGTCCAGTCTGGATGGCTAAAAATGTTCTGCAGAAATGGCAATTCTTTCCCACTCTGAATTGTCTTGTCTCTAAGAATGCTGGTTTGAGTCCAGGCTGAGTCAGTTGGCATTTCTGTGTGGAGTTTGCATGTTGGTTTCCTCAGGGTGCTCCAGTTTCTCCCACAGTCCAAAGATAAGTTGGCTGTGGTGACCCCAGATGAATAAAGAGCCTAAGGAAAATGAATGATTTAATGTTTTTGTTGGAGAAGTTGTAATAATTTTTTTACAACTCATTAGCAGTCGCTGAAAGAAAGTACACTTTATTTAGCATGAATGTAATCTGTAGCCAAGTCATTTTGCTTAGTTTTTTAACCCACATTTTTTTGTCAGATACTTTTTAATCTAGTAGATTTAGGATGCAACCCCTTTACTTCGGCTCGCGGCGATGACGTCACAACCAGCGCGCCGTTTCATTCAGATAGTGAGGTCTGCTGAGGTAAGGGAGTTATAGCTTTTTTTAACACAATAATCGGTCTTTTCTGTTTTGTGTAATTAGGTTCTGCTTGTGAAATTTTTCTGCCGTCTGAAACCGTTTGTAGCTTCGGAAAGCGCTATTAAAACCGTTTGAATCGAGATTATACGAACTGAGGTAACGTTACGTTTACTACTTAAACGAAACAACGTTTCTTGTAAGGAAAATTTGAAATGTTAAAGATAATTATGATTTATATGTAAAAATTATGTGAATATGTTATTTAGTTTAACGCAGATGAAACCCCTTTTTTGTGGTAGTAAAACTGAAATAGATGTTTTCTACCCTCCACACAATAAATACTATTTGTATGACAACGGTTTTACTTGAAATTACATGGTTAAACTTTAGTAAATGTTGCTAAACTGACGTTAATGAGTCTTCAAATAACAAATTTAATTAAAAATATAACATTTTGTTTTTATAGTGTTTTATCATTAAGTTATGTTTAAAATTAGGTTATTGTAATAACGACTTAAAGAGATACATAACTAACTTAATAAAGGATGAAGGTATGAAACAAACTAAATGTTTTATATCAGTGGTGCTCAACCATGTTCTTGGAGATTGACCTTCCTGCAAAGTTTAGCTTTAAAGGATTCGGATTTCTGCTTTCCAATCTGTCTCATGATGGACCAACGTTTATTCTTTTCATTATCCTGTTTCTCATAATTTGTTTTGTTAAATATAATTATTTGATTATTTGAATGAGTTTTTACCTTTGAATTGATTTTAACTAATGAATAAGTTAACACATTACTTAATATAAGAACTCTTTATAACTACTTTCAGGAGCCACCAAACTAGGTCAGAGGTCTAAGAGACCTTGAGAGGAAATAAGGACTGAGGAATGGAAGCAACTGTTTCTATTGTTATTTTTATGAATTAATACTGTCTAAAATTTCTAAAGTGATTTAGCTATTTTTATGGTTGATTCTCTTAAAGTGATTCTTCTTTTTATTCAAGATAGACTTTGTGTATCACGGATATGACTGCCTGAATGTAGATTATACCGGTTTTCAAACCAGGTTTGATAAAGACAGCAGAGAGTACACTCAGCCTTGGATAAGAAACAGATTGTACTTTAAGTGTGTGTGTGTTCTTTTTGATTGTTGATCCGTTTCACAGGTCTGGAGTCAGCTCTAATCAGTCTAAGGGATGTCTGACATTTATGCTTAAGATATTGTTTAGAATATTTGCACGAATATATAAAATATTTGCACGAATATATAAAATATATATATAATGGCTGATCTGCATTGGGCCATGCAGTTTGTACTTGAAAGTTTGTGTTATATACAACTCTAATTCCATAAACATTGAGGCATTTTGTAGAATGTTATAAATATAAGGAATATGCGATTCATATTTTTATTGGGAAAAGTACAGAGGAAAAAAAGCTTAAACAATATTTTATTTCAATAACTGTACCAAAGTTCACACAGAGGCAAGTTTAACATAATGTCATTTCAGCTTTCCTGTAAATTGTGTTGTTTAGTTGTAAGGAAATTGTTGAGGACAAAATCAAAACAAAAGCATCCATCACCACCATGTCTGCTTACAGAAATATATATTGAGGTTTGCAGAACTTAATGAAAATGAATTGAGGAATTAATGTTTAATTCAATAACCTGTTAAACTTAATAAGCAGTTTAGGGTATTTATGATTGCATTATATATATTATAACTTTTACATTACACAATCCCAATTGTTGGTGGTATTTTGCATTGTGTTCTTTCTAGACCAATCTAACTGTTTACATTTAGTAATTTAGCAGATGCTTTTGTCTAAAGCGACTTACAAAATTTGGAAGCATTCAGTGATTCAACAGGAATAGGCAATACACAAGAATATTAAAATTATATTTAGTATGCAAAGTAATTATACAAACTTGTTTGTGCTCAGAGAATTTAGTGCTAGAGTAAGAGTGCTTTTTACAACTACTGTTTACTGTAGTTCACAGCAAACACTGGAGTAAGAGTTTAGTTGTTATAATGTTGTATGCAAGAATTATTCTAATACACTTGAAGTGTGAAAAAAGTCTCCTAGTACCCTATCTGTAACGGTAACACTTTGGCATTGTAACTGTCCTTTGTTTGATTTTTTTTTTACTTTTCTCTCAAAAATTCACAGTTAGTATTATAAAAAACAATTAAAAGATCAGTTACAATTGTTTCCTCACAATCTATATTATTTTTTCAATAGACACAGGACTGTCAGTGATTAAATCATTAAAGGTTTTTTTTTCACAATCTAGAACAACTATATCCTCCACAGGGAGTGAATCTGGTTTAATATATTACTTAGTTGCAAGCAAAATATTAGTTAAAGCAAAATGTCTGTAGATTTGACTTATGCAAATATTATAATATAGTAATAAAATATGTTATACAAAAGAACAAATTCACTGACAATTTCACAGTGCCATAAGTTATGTAATTAATTTATGTGTTTTATTTTGGCAGTTCATTTATATAGCAGTCCTCCTGCAATAAAGCTTTACCAGTAAATGCTGAAATAATTCCATCAACCAAGAAGTGAAGCAAATTTTGTGATAGAACATGAGTGATCCAGGAGCCTGCACAATAAAACAGGAAGATACTGAAGAACAAATAGGTTGGTGATTTATTTTATTTTATTTTTTTACCTGATTTTTTTTCAGATGTTTATATGAGTTCACAATTCAAACATACTTATTTAGCAGCCATGGGCTGGTATAAGTTTCTGGCATTATGATAACCTTGGATAAAAATATCACGGTTTCATAGTATTACGGTCCTGTGATTACTGATCTAAAATAAGTTCTTTTTAAATGTCTGGGTAGCTAAACTTTTCCCCCATTTAACAAAATACATTTTATTTTAGAAAACATTTATAATATTTTGGAACAGTAAACATGTCTGGCTGAATAACAAAATAAATCATTGCCTTCAGGGGTCTGTTCTTCATACCTTGCTTAAATGATCTAAGATGATTTGGCAGATCCTGGATCTGTTCATCTTGATAACTGATCTCTCACTAATTTGGTTCTTCAAACAAGTTTGTGAATCAGATTAAAATGTCTGGATGAACTGATCTGAGATCGCTGCATGTGTTGTGAAGGACTGATCTATCGAGCAGTGTAAATACATCATCTGAATAATATTCAATTATCCATGTGAGCTAAATTACATTTTCTCAAAAATAGCTCAAATATGTTTTATCGCAGTTAGTCAAACCATGATTTTTATAGCTGTAGACTTGTGGAAACCTGTTTAAAAAGTCACACGAGCTGGATAATATTGATATTTTCCAGTGTGTGTGTTACATTTCGGTTCACTACCGGTGTGTGGTACATTCTACGTCACTTCCGGGGTGTGGTACATTCCCTTTCCGTAGGGAATCTGTAATTGTAAATTTGTTTCGGGATTTGTAAAAGTGTTTTGCGTCTTGTTAATTTGTTTTCTAAAATGTAAATTAGTTTCGTCCTTTGTAAAATTGTTTTTCCTGTGTAATTGTGTCTGATAATAGGTAAAAATGTTTTTCAAAATGTAAATTTGTCTCGAGCTTTGTAAAAGTGTTTCAAACTTTGCAGTGTTGTTTTGCACTTCCCGGCCACCGTAGTAAACGGTTTGTTAAATATGATACGCAATAACTTTCCACCTTGTTGTGGGCTGCTAGCATGGCCCTTTAATGTGTCAAGAGCAATTTATTTAGTTTTACAGTTAGAGCGGATTTTCCTTATTATATTAGTATTATTGTAGCCGGTTTTTTAATCCGTATAAAAAATAATTGGATGTTTACAAAAGCATTTTGATATAGGTAAAGCCGTCTGCAACTTTTATGAAGCATCAAATAACCATCATATTAACCTGGATCGTGTCAAATTGTCAATAACCAAATCCAGCTAACTGAGTAATCCACGTACGAAGAACAGACCCCAGGTCTCTTTGTTAGTTTTAAAAACACTGATTTACTTACAACACGTTTTAAAAAAACACACATTATAAAACATATACTTTAGGAACGGTATAACAGAAAATTTAGACTTTTCCAAACTGCGTTAAACCTTGAAACTGGTTATCATCCCACGTCTATTATTTAGTAGTTTTTACTACAGAAATGATGATTGATTAATGTCCCTTATTCAAATGAGTGCTTTAAAATGTTGATATTTGCTAATATTACGTCAGGAAATGCTTAACTTTGTCTATTGTATTGTCAATTTTGCTTTGCTAAAGTTTGCCACAGCATTTTACACGATAAAATGTGCTATATAAATCCACATCATGCACTACTTGTAAAAATCTGTTTTTCAGAAGTTTTTCAAAAGGTTGGGGTTAAAATTTCTCTCACATTTCTTTCTTTTACTTTCATTTTAGACTCATTAAAAGAGAAAAAAGAGATTGAAGATCTAATTATCAGGGGAGAGAAACATCACATAAAAACAGAAGAAAACCTTGACAGTATTTCATCAATAAGTGAAGACAATCCATGTTTCACATGCCCTATGTGTGCAAACACTTTCTCATGTGTGGAAAGTCTTAATCTTCACATTAAGATTCATAAAGAAGTGAAGCCACACACATCTGATCAACATGAGAAGATTTCCAAAACAGAAATTACAGATAATATAAAGGTCCATGCTGAGGAAACGGTGTACAATTGTGATCAGTGTGACAGGACTTTCACAGATAAGAGAAATTTAGCCGCACACATGAAATTTCACAGCGGAGAGAAGCCCTTCATGTGTGATCTGTGTGGGAAGAGTTTTCTTTATACAGGTACATTAAAAAAACACCGGAAATTACACAGCGCTGTGAAGAATCAAGTCTGCTCCAAGTGTGGCAAGAGCTTTTTCACATTCAGTCAATTAAAAATCCACCACACAGCTCACGCTACAGAAAAACCTTTCAAATGCCCTGACTGTGGCAAGGCGTTCAAATCATTACAGTGTCAACGAATACATGAGATGATCCACCGTGGAGAAAAGCCATACAAGTGTGATCAGTGCGAGAAGACTTTCAGACTGAAGAAAAATGTAGATTTACACATGAGAATCCACACTGGAGAGAAGCCGTACACGTGTGATCTTTGTCAAAGGAGTTTTTCTAGAAAGGATTGCCTTAAAGTTCACATGAAAATCCACACTGGGGATAGGCTGTACACCTGTGCTCCGTGTGACAGGACCTTCACAAATTTTGGAAGTTATAGCGCACACATGAAAGCTCACAGCGGAGACCAGGCGTACACATGTGATGAATGTGGAAAGAGTTTTCGCAATGCAAGTGCATTTAAAAGACATCAGAAAAGACACAGCGGTGTGAGGGATCACGTTTGCACTAAATGTGGCAGGAGTTTTTTCACAAAAAATGCATTAAAGGTGCACCAAACTATTCACACTTCTGAAACGCCTTATAAATGTTCACACTGTGAGAAAAGTTTCAAACGGCAAGAATACGTAAAACTGCATGAAAAGATCCACAGTGGGGAAAAGCCGCACGCGTGTGATCAGTGTGGGAAGAGTTTTAATAAAATGGCCTCCTTAAATATGCATAAGAAAATACACCGAGGTTTGAGGGATCGTGTTTGCTCCAAGTGTGGCAAGACATTTTTTACAAATAATGCTTTAAAGGTGCACCAGTCAGTTCACACTACAGAAGCGCCCTATAAGTGTTCATACTGTGAAAAGGCATTTAAATTGTCACAATATCTGAAAACACATGAGAAGATTCACAAAGGAGAACATCCGTACACGTGTGATCAGTGCGGGAAGAGTTTCAGAAATAAAGAAGGTCTAGACACACACAGCACGATCCATACCGGAGAGAAGCCGTTCACATGTGATCGCTGCGAGGCCAGTTTTGCCAGAAGGGAAAGCCTTGCTAATCACAAGAAGATCCACACCGGAGAGAATCTGCACAAATGTGATCAGTGTGGGAAAAGTTTCAGAAGATTGAGTGTTTTAAAGGATCATCTGCTGACTCATACTAGAGAGAGAATCTATAAATGTAAACAGTGTGATAAAAGCTTTTTCAGGCCAAGTTTTCTGAGGGAACACCGAAAAGTTCACACAGATGAGAGGCCATACGTGTGTTATTTGTGTGGGAAGAGTTTTCGTTATACGAGTGGATTAAAATCACACCAGAAAAGGCACAGCGGTGTGAAGGATCATGCTTGCTCTGAGTGTGGGAAGTCTTTCTATTCTGCTAGTGCACTAAAAGGTCACCAGTCAGTTCACACTACAGAAACGCCTTATAAATGTTCACACTGTAACAAAAGATTCAAGCGGTTACAATATCTGAAAATACATGAGAAGGTCCACAAACAGTGAGTGAGTTCTGATCCTGTATCTATTACTATGATGTTGTGCAGAGCTGATTATTTGGATAATTGAGATATTAAATGATTATTATTCATCAGCTTTAGTCATTGATTCAGATGTTTACCCATTCTCAATGTTTAGTATTAAGAAAATCATTTCTGTTTTTGAGCTTGTGTCTTGTTGAGGAAGCTGAACTGACCAATCTCTTGCAGGTTCAATGCACCAACTGCTGTGAAAAATATTCAGACAGACAAGAATAAATTTGAAAACCTCAACCTTTATTTAATTTTTCTTTGCAAAAATGTAAAGCAGTGTGCTGAATTAGTTTGAGTGACACAATGATGAAATTGAAGTTTGTAATCTCTGCATTGGTAAAGTGTTGTGAGGGTTTATGCAGAAATGCTTTTGCTTGACTGTGAGAACATAAATGAGTTTAAAATGAGTTTTATTGAGCTAACAATACCAAATGAAAAAGATTCCTGATTTATATGCAGTGTTGCATTTGTTTACATTTTTTTTCAATGTGTCTTAAGAGTTTGAAATTAAAGGGAAGCCCATGGATGTCAATGAGAAACATTTGGATAAAAGTTTAGTGGTTACCTTGCAGATAATTCAGCCCTTAATAAAGCAAATAAATATCTTATTTACTCATTTATTTTTTTCAGCTTTCAAGAATTAGAGACAAGCTGGAAATCTATACCAGAATCTGCCAGTTTTACTATATATATATATATATATATATATATATATATATATATATATATATATATATATATATATATTTATATATATATACATCACACACACATACACACCAAGAAAATATATTTACTTATTTTTATTTTTTGTTTTAGCCTGTTTAGAGACTTTAAATCATGATTTTCTAAATAATTCACTATTATAATGTGTAGTGTAGCAAAAATGTTTCATAAACTTCTCTTTCTCATTTAAATAATTTGCAGATTGGATCTGGAAGAAGTTTTCCATATTCCATTTTAGAACGTTCACGTCACCGCGTTTTTAACCAGTTTTCAACCAATAATATCCAGCTGCAGGCAGTATTTCAATCAAATTATCTACCTAGCGATAGATGGCGCCATTATACTTATGTATTTGCGATCTGGCGCTCTTAAACTAAACGAGGAAGTCGCAAGGAACCGTCTGTCCAGCGAAGACCAAAGGCAAGGGACTTTGTTATCGCAGAGTAACGTTGAGTCCTCAAATCTGAGGTAATTTGTTTTTTATTTATATTTTACGATTCTAAAAACACTCTTTGAAATATAATGTACATGTTGTTTTCTCTGTTGTTCTGCCTAGTATAAGTGCAATTTGAGCGTCTTTTCAGGCTTCTGCTGACTGAAATGGACAATTAGCCTAGAAGAAACCTACCGTGTGAGAAATTATTCAAATTAAATAACGTTAACCTGTTTTAACTTAAGAGGCTGTTTAGATGATTAGTGCTTAAGTTTGGCTATTACCCAGCTTGAAAATCTTTTACATAAAAAAGTTGGTCATGGTTTCTTTTGTGTTCTCTTCAAACCAATCCCAGATAGTAAATCTGGATCTGGAGAGATTCGGCCCATAACGTTAGTCGTAACTGTCCCGCAACAGAGCTGGAATGCACAGATATCAGCTAGATTAACATCACAATCTAAACCAGAACTCAGCCACAACTTATTTAGAAGCTCAAAAAAACGTTATCTGTCACAGTTTTTCCTGCATTGAGAATTAGAAGGTGGACACCACAGCAGCAAATATTGTCCCACTCCACCTTTTGACAGAAATCAGGCAAACAGTCACAGCTACAGACAGACCCCAAGTGATGAGCACACGTAAATCAATTTTGCATAAATAAATTTATATTTTACTTGATAAAAATTATTATTGAAAATGTTAAAAAATGTTAAAAAAAATTGTTACAAGTAGCAAAAAAATATTGATTGCCTCACCTCAGCCTCATTTTGATCTTGGAAAAACCCTGTATATTATTTATAAATTGTGTCAGGTATAACTAACGAATTAACTATGAAAATGCAATGTATAGTGAATTGTATAATTGGATTATTAGTGTCTAAGTAAACGTACTCATTGTTCAAGATAGTAAATACATTTACTAATATGAACAATGTTCCTTATTATAAAGGCTGCCTCATGATTTGTCAGATGGTGTTCTTCTCATCCATCCACCCTCACCCACATCCACTCATTAGCCACTCATTATACCATTGAAACAAAAGATGAAGAAAAATAACATTAGTGATGATGAACGTGAGGTTGGTGGTTGGAGGTGGAACACTATTTTTAATTCTGAAAACAAGAGGCGCACAGCACCTTGACTTTATAAAAGAGCAATATATTGTGCAACTACTGTATCAACAGTCTTGGTGCTGGAGTGCATGACATTAGGAACTTTTTCTGCACAGAGCTGACTTTATAAACAGGAACCAATGTTCACATTACTATAAAGTTGGTAACAGATTTCTGTTTTATTTAGGCAGTTCTCCCACTGTGAAGCTTCACCAATAAATGCTGAAATATTCCCATCAACCAAGAAGTGAATCAAAGTTTGTGAGAGAACAGTGAGAACATGAGTGATTCAGGAACCTGCACAATAAAACAGGAAGATACTGAAGAACAAATAGGTTGGTGATTACTCTTGATTCTGTCTTTTTACAAAGTTTTTATTTGCAACAAAGATTTCTCACAAAATTCAGTCTCATTATTCAGGTTATAAATAATACTTATAAATAATTTAGCAAAGCTACTGATTGACTAGTTATTATTACAAACACATTGTTTTTGACTGTAGTCCATCAATGTACCAAATTCAAATGAACGCATGGAAATGTTCATATAAGCAAATATTAAGTTAGGACATTATCCATTTTATTTATTGTATTGTATGTGCTAACATTTTTGTAACAAGCTTTTTGTAAAAAAAAAATTGTTTGAGTTGTTCAGAAATGGTGGGGTCAACTGAAACAACTAGTAATGATTATTAGGATGTTGTTTTGTGACGTCTCATTTTCTTGTCTTTAATATTTCTAACTTTTTGAAGCCTGTTTTACTTTTGCTTTCATTTTAGACTTGTTAAATGAGAACAAGGAGATTGAAGATCTGATTAAAAGGGGAGAGAAACATCACATCAAAACAGAAGAACACCTTCACAGTATTTCATCGATAAGGGAAGACAATCCATGTTTCACATGCCTTCAGTGCACAAATACTTTCTCATGCGAGGAAAGTCTAAATCTTCACATGAAGATTCATACAGAGGTGAAGCCACACACATCTGATCAATGTGATGAAATTTTCACTGTCGAAATTACAGATAACATGAAAGTCCACGCTGAGGAAACGGTGTACAATTGTGATCAGTGTGACAGGACTTTCACAGATAAGAGAAATTTAGCCGCACACTTGAAATTTCACAGCGGAGAGAAGCCCTTCATGTGTGATTTATGTGGGAGGAGTTTTCTTTATGCAAATACTTTGAAAAAACACCGGAAATTACACAGCGCTGTGAAGAATCACGTCTGCTCCAAGTGTGGCAAGAGCTTTTTTACATATAGTCAATTAAAAATCCACCACACAGCTCACGCTACAGAAAAACCTTTCAAATGTTCACACTGTGGCAAGGGGTTCAAATCATTACAGTGTCAACGAATACATGAGATGATCCACAGTGGAGAAAAGCCACACAAGTGTGATCAGTGCGAGAAGACTTTCAGACAGAGAAAAAGTTTAAACATCCACATGAGAATCCACACTGGAGAGAAGCCGTACACGTGCGATCATTGTGGGAGGAGTTTCAGCAGAAAGGAAACCCTTAACAGTCACTTGCAAACCCACTCTGGGAATATGCTGTACATTCATCCTCAGTATGCAGAGGGTTTCAACAGTACAGGAGATTTTACTGCGCAAATGCAAACTCACTTTGGAGAGAACCCTTTCTTATGTGATCAATGTGGGAAGGGGTTTAATAATAAAACTGCGTTAAAAAAACACAAAAACATACACAAAGGTGTGAAGGATCATGTTTGCTCCACGTGTGGCAAGAGTTTTTTAATAAATGCGTATTTAAAAATACATGAAAAAGCTCACTCTACAGAAAGACCTCATAAATGTTCACACTGTGACAAGGCATTTAAGTTACCGCAGACTCTGAAAAGACATGAGAAGACCCACACTGGAGAAAAGCCGTACTCCTGTGATCCATATGGGAAGAGACAAAACAGAGATCTAGATGTACACATTGAAAAACAATCTAAAGAGAAGCCACACAAATGTGATCAGTGCGGGGCGGGTTTTGCCACAAAATGGAGTCTTACTTATCACATGAAAATCCACACCGGAGAGAAGCCGTTCACATGTGATCAGTGTGGGATCGGTTTTGTCACAAAACTAAATCTTGCTAATCACTTGAAAATCCACACCGGAGAGAAGCCGTTCACATGTGATCATTGCGAGGCGAGGTTTGCCAGAAGGGACAGCCTTGCTAATCACATAAAACTCCACACCGGAGAGAATCTGCACAAATGTGATCAGTGTGGGAAAAGTTTCAGAAGATACGATGTTTTTAAAGGTCATCTTCTGAGTCATTCTAGAGAGAGAATCTATAAATGTAACCAGTGCGACAAAAGCTTTTTTAAGCCAAGTATGCTGAGGGACCACCGAAAAGTTCATACGGATGAGAGGCCATACGTGTGTTATTTGTGTGGGAAGAGTTATCGATATAAAACTGCATTAAAAATACACCAGAAAAGGCACAGCGGTGTGAAGGATCATGCTTGCTCTGAGTGTGGCAAGACTTTCTATACAGATAGTGCCCTTAAAGATCACCAGTCAGTTCACACTACAGAAACGCCTTATGAATGTTCACTCTGTGACAAAAGATTCAAGCGGTTACAATATCTGAAAATACATGCAAAGATTCACAAGCACAGTGAGTGAGTTTTGATCCTGTACGTATTATGATGTTGTGCAGAGCTGATTATTTTGATAATTGAGTTATGAATTTTTTATTCATCATCAGCTTTTGTCATTGATTCAGATGTTTACCCATTCTCAATGTTTAGTATTAAGAAAATCATTTCTGTTTTTGAGCTTGTGTCTTGTTGAGGAAGCTGAACTGACCAATCTCTTGCAGGTTCAATGCACCAACTGCTGTGAAAAATGTTCAGACAGACAAGAATCTATTGAAAAGCCTCTAAATCAAATAATTTTTTGCCAAAATATAAAGCAATGTGTGGAAATAGTTTGACTGACACAATGATGAAATTGAAGTTTGTAAGCTCTTAATTGGTACAATGTTGTAAGGGGATTATACAGAAGTTTACTTTTTTTGTTTTCTGTAATGTGTCCGCAGGGTTTGAAATTAAAGTTAAGCCCATGGATGTCAACAAGAAAGATTTGGATGACAGTCTAGTGGCTGCCTTGCAGATAATTCATGCAAATAAATAATAATAATGTGATAAACTGCAAATAAATACCTTGCTTGCTCATTTAATTATCTAGCTTCAAAGAATGAGAGACAAAATCAAAATCAATACCACAATCTACCAGTTTAACTGTTCTAGATGAGAATAGATTAAATCAGCTTTATTGTCATTACACATGTACAAATTCAAGGCAAAGAAATGCAGTTTAGGTCTAACCAACAGTGCAATAGCAGCAAGTCCAGGATACAGGTATAAGTTATAAACTGCAGTTATAGAAAAACTATAGTGATATTTACAGATAGATGTACTATAAACATTATATATTCTATTAGCTACGAACAGAGATTTACAATAAATTAATATATATGTACAGGTTGCTATTAATATCAGAAGTATGCAGATAGATAAACATAATTACTAATGTATATGTACAGTGGGTGTGTACATAATTACAAATGTCCATGTGCAGTGGGTATGTACAGTTCAAATAAATGAATCGGTGCAATGTAGTGCAATGAATATGTGCAAATTTTAAATTGTGCAAATGTTAAACAGTGCAGTGATTGTGAGTAGTATAAGTTAGTGAAGAGTGAGGGGTGTATTGGGGGCAAATGAGTCAGTGAGGGATAGAGTTCAAAAGGGAGACAGCTCTGGGGAAAAAGCTGTTCCTCAGTCTGCTGGTTTTTGTCCGGGGGAGCCTGAAGCGCCTGCCGGAAGGCAGGAGAGAAAACAGTCTGTGAGCAGGATGTATTTTTAAAATGGTATTTTTTGAAGCTATTCTTTTAAAATCACACCTGCATTGGTGTAAAATTTGTTAATGACAGTAAAGTCATATTTAAAAAAACTTTAAAAAACAATTTTAGACAATCAAAGTGTTGCATATTGATATTTCTGTTTTCTACCTAGTTAAATCTATGTTGACAACTATTGTGAGAAATCATTATCATGATCAGTGTCTTCACATTGATGAATATCATTAATTATTAATAATAACAACATATAATTTAAATTAAATTGAGAAAATTTGTAATTTAGGAAGTGTGTATCAAACTGGTTGGAAGCCCTTCACAATAATCAGTAGAAGAAGTAGCTCTCAGTTTCAAGAGGTTGGTGACCCCTGGTGTAGTGTAACATAAATGGTCCATAAACTTCTCTTTCTAATTCAAATGATTTGCAGATTGGAACTGGAAGAAGTCTTCCATATTCCATTTTAGCGCTAGAACGTTCACGTCACATCGTTTTTTAAACAGGCTGTATTGGAATATAATCTACATAGCGATAGGTGGCGCTAATGCATTTATGTATCTGCGAGCTGCCGCTCTTCACATAAACAAGGAAGTCTCGGGGAACTCTTCGGGGAAAAATAAAAAAAGCAAATCACAGGGTAACGTTGGGTCTTCAAGGCTGAGGTAATTTGTTTTTCATTTATATTTTACAATGATAAAACGCTCGTTAAAAACGTAATGTACAGGGTGTTTTCCTTGTTGTTTCCACCTAGTGTAAGTGCAGTTTGAGCGTCTTTTCAGGCTTCTGCTGACTGAAACAGACATTTAGCCAAGCAGAAACCAACCGTGTGAGAAATTAATGTTAAAATGAATTAACCCGTTATAACTTAAGGGGCCGTTTAGGTGATTTCTGCTTGAGTTTTGGCCATTACCCAGATTGAAAATCTTTTACATAAACGAAATTGGTCATGTTTTTATTTGTGTTTACCTCAGACCAATCCCAGATAGCAAGTCTGGACATTAAGGTAAAGTTGGTTTTATCATCACACAATTAGACTTTCTCCTTTATAATATAATTTCAGAAAAGTATTCTTTGCAAATTATAATTAGGGAAATCATATTAGCAGCCACTGACTATCAAACTATGACATTGTTCACACTCACAGTCAAATAAATGGTGCTAATGTTGTTTTTAAAGTCATACTTGCATAAGATTTCAGACCTAATATTCAAAGTACCATTGTGAACATTATAGGGAGCATGTAACAAGTTGTCACTGAACAAATATAAAACCAACTTTACCTCAGTAATCTGGATCTGGGGAGTTTGGGACCATAGTCGTAACTGTCCCGCAACAGAGCTGGAATGCATAGATATCAGACAGGCAAGAGCTAGACTACCAAGACAATCTCTACCAGAACTCAACTACAACTTATTTAGAAGCTCAAAAAAGGTTTATCAGTTTTTCCTGCATAGAAAATTAGGAGCTGGCCACCACCAACAAATATTCTCCCACTCACACTTTTGACAGAAATCAGGCAAGCTGTCACGACAACAGAAGGACCCCATGTGATGAGCACTGATCATGTATTTAATTACGTTAATACATTTATTTAAATAAAATAATTGTTACTTAACACAATTAAAATAATAATTGAATATGTGTTTGTTACAAGTAGCATAAAATTATTGATTGTCTCACCTCAGCCTCATTCTGATCTTGGAAAAACCCTGTACATTATTTATAAATTGTGTCAGGTATAACTATATATGAAAATGCAGTGTATAGTGTTTAATAATGCAGTGGGTGGAAAGGTGGACCAAAGATAAACCAACAATATAATGAATTCAAAAGAGAAACAAAATACACGGTCACAGTACAATAAGAAAAAGGAAACAAATGTCATTTTGAACATTACAAAGTAAATCAAATGTGCAATAAAATAATTGAGTCATGCAGAAACAAGGAACAAATGCTAGTTATTAAAGACGAATGAAAAATGTGGTAAAAGTTCAGTGGTCTCTTACGAGAAGTAAAAACATCTAAAGAAACTACAAGCAACAAAGATGTTATAAAAATGAAGTACAGTTTATCTTTGCTGATTTGCCAAATCAGTATGTAAAATATCTGTAAAACTGTCAAATATACATTCATTTGGTAAGTGTTCTTTTTTTTTTTTGCCATCCTTGCATTCACTATCACTCAGATGAAATAAGTAGCTTTTAAATTTATGGTTTTTATTAATTTTCTGTCTCTAAATTGACTTTATTAAAAGAGCAATATACTGTGCTTCTGTGTTGCTGTGTAACCACTGTATCAACAGTCTTGGTGCTGGAGCGCATGACATTGGGCACTTTTTCTGCAGAGAGCTGTCTTTTATTATCATTTAATTTGTAAATTATACAAGCAATTACTATAAAGTTGATAACAGTTTTATGTTTTATTTTGGCAGTTCTTTAACTGTGAAGCTTCACCAGTAAATGCTGAAACATTCCCATCAACCAAGAAGTGAAGCAAAGTTTGTGAGAGAACAGTGAGAACATGAGTGATTCAGGAGTCTGCACAATAAAACAGGAAGATGCTGAAGAACAAATAGGTTGGTGATTATTCTTGATTCTGTCTTTTACCAAAACTAGCAGCAACTCATTAGCTAAAGTTTTTATTTACAACAAAGATTTCCCACAAAATCCAACAATTTAAATGAACATGTGGAAATGTTCATATTTGCAAATATTATTTCAGGAAATTATTTTATTTGTTGTACTGTATGTGCTAACATTTCCTTTTTGTAAAAATAATGAGTTTGAGTTGTTCAAAAATGGTGGGGTCAGTGGCGTGGCGGACGGGCCCTCAGGAAAGGGAAGTGATCCCTGCAGTGCTACGCCACTGGGTGGGGTCAAATGAAAAGATAACTAGAGTAGAATGATTATAAGGATGTTGTTTTGTGACATCTAATTTTTTTTGTCTTTAATATTTCTAACTTTTTGAAGCCTGTTTTTCTTTTGCTTTCATTTTAGACTTGTTAAATGAGAACAAGGAGATTGAAGATCTGATTAAAAGGGGAGAGAAACATCACATCAAAACAGAAGAAAACCTTTACAGTATCTCAACGATAAGAAAAGACAATCCATGTTTCACATGCCTTCAGTGTAAAAACACTTTCTCATGCGAGGAAAGTCTAAATCTTCACATGAAGATTCATAGAGAGGTGAAGCCACACACCTCTGATCAATGTGATGAGATTTTCACCGTAAAAGTTACAAATAACGTAAATGTCCACGCTGAGGAAACGGTGTACAATTGTGATCAGTGTGACAGGACTTTCACAGATAAGAGAAATTTAGCCGCACACATGAAATTTCACAGCGGAGAGAAGCCCTTCATGTGTGATCTATGTGGGAGGAGTTTTCTTTATGCAAATACATTAAAAAAACACCGAAATTTACACAGCGCTGTGAAGAATCACGTCTGCTCCAAGTGTGGCAAGAGCTTTTTCACATTCAGTCAATTAAAAATCCACCACACAGCTCACGCTACAGAAAAACCTTTCAAATGTTCACACTGTGGCAAGGCGTTCAAATCATTACAGTGTCAACGAATACATGAGATGATCCACAGCGGAGAAAAGCCACACAAGTGCGATCAGTGCGAGAAGACTTTCAGACAGAGGAAAAGTTTAAACATCCACATCAGAATCCACACTGGAGAGAAGCCGTACACGTGCGATCATTGTGGGAGGAGTTTCAGCAGAAAGGAAACCCTTAACAGTCACTTGAAAACCCACTCTGGGAATATGCTGTACACTTGTGCTGAGTGTGGGGAAGGTTTCAACAATACAGGAGATTTTACAGCACACATGAAAACTCACTTTGGAGAGAACCCTTTCTTATGTGATCAATGTGGGAAGGGTTTTCCTAATAGGACTGCATTAAAAAAACATCAGAATATACACAAAGGTTTGAAGAATCATGTTTGCTCCAAGTGTGGCAAGACTTTTTTGACAAATGCTATTTTAAAAGCGCATGAAAGACTTCACACTACAGAAAGACCTCATAAATGTTCACACTGTGACAAGGCATTTAAATTATCGCAGCATCTTAAAATACACGTGAAGATCCACACTGGAGAAAAGCCGTACTCCTGTGATCCATGTGGGAAGAGTTTCAGACAAAAACGAGATCTAGATGTACACATTGAAAAACACACTGAAGAGAAGCCACACAAATGTGATCAGTGCGGGGCGGGTTTTGCTAGAAAATTAAGTCTTGCTAATCACAAGAACATCCACACCGGAGAGAACACATGTGATCAGTGTGGGATGAGTTTTGCCACAAAATCGAGTCTTGAAAATCACATAAAAATCCACACCGGAGAGAAGCCGTTCACATGTGATCATTGCGAGGCGAGTTTTGCCAGAAGGGACAGCCTTGCTAATCACATAAAACTCCACACCGGAGAGAATCTGCACAAATGTGATCAGTGTGGGAAAAGTTTCAGAAGATACGATGTTTTTAAAGCACATCTGCTGACTCATTCTAGAGAGAGAATCTATAAATGTAACCAGTGCGACAAAAGCTTTTTTAAGCCAAGTTTGCTGAGGGACCACCGAAAAGTTCATACAGATGAGAGGCCATACGTTTGTTATTTGTGTGGGAGGAGTTTTCGTTATAAAACTGCATTAAAAATACACCAGAAAAGGCACGACGGTGTGAAGGATCATGCTTGCTCTGAGTGTGGCAAGACTTTCTATACAGATAGTGCCCTTAAAGATCACCAGTCAGTTCACACTACAGAAACGCCTTACGAATGTTCATACTGCGACAAAAGATTCAAACGGTTACAATATCTGAAAATACACACAAAGATCCACACTGGAGAAAAGCTAAATCAAAGTGATTTATGAAGTAAAATGGTTCACTCATTGTTCTACTTTAACCTGTCACAGAAAAACAAGGTGCATGCCTGAAATCACAGTAAGTTAGTTGTGATCTTGTGCAGAGCTGATTATTTTGATAATTGAGGTAAAAAATGATTATTATTCGTCAGCCTTTTGCTATGAAGTCAGATGTTTTACCCATTGTCATTGTTTAGTAATCAAGAAAAGCATTTCTGTTTTTGAGTTTGTGTCCTGTTAGCAGTCCTTGAGGAAGCGGAACTGACCAATCTCTTGCAGATTTTCTACAGATGTCACCAATACACCAACTGCTGTGAAAAATATTCAGATAAACAAGAATCTATTTAAAAACCACATGCTTTGTTTTTTATTTTATTTGACAAAAGGTAAAGCAATTTGCTGAAATACTTTGAGTGACACAATGATGAAATTGAAGTTTGTAACCTCTGCATTGGTAAAGTGTTGTTAGGGATTATACATACATTTTTTGGCTAACTTTTACCAATGAAAAAAGATTCAAGATTTATATGCAATGTTGCATTTGTTTACATTTTTTCCAATGTGTCCCGAGAGATTGGAATTAAAGGTAAGCCCATGGATGTCAATGAGAAACGTTTAGATGCAAGTTTAGTGGTTTATGCAGATAATTTAGCCTAAACTGGAAATATCATATTTACTGATTTATTTTTCTAGCTTTAATGAATGTGAGACAAAATGGAAATCTATACCTCAATCTGCCAATTTGTCTAAAAAAAAGTGTTCTGCAAATTTAAATAGATTAAAACACTTAAAATTGGGTAATTTGCCAATAAATCCTTTTTTTTTTTCATTTTTGCTTCAGAATGTTTAGAGTCGATAATTGTATAAATGATTCACTTTATTGTGTAATGTAACTAAAAGTGGTTCATAAATGTCTTTCTCATTTAAGTGATTTGTAGATTGGGCCTGGAAAAAGTATTCCATACGTCTGTTGATAGGGCAAAACACTTAGTGCTACTCTAAAGTCCAATATTTAATGCAATTTGCCTCTGACATCATGTTCTTTTAAATTTTGGGGACCAGACAAGACTTTCTGTGGACAGGATTTATTGGATTTTGACAACAGATATTTTTGTGACGTTGATTAGACATTTCCTAATGTGTTTTTATATAGCTGAGTTGAAAACTGAATTGTAAATTAACCATGGCTTATTTTATATATTGTATATTAAATTAACTTTGTTTAAATTATCATTATATTATATTCATAGTTTATTCAGTGATAAAAACACAATTATTACAACACTAACTATGGTTTTACCATGACTGGTGGGTCTTTCTTGGCTTTGGCGCGCTTTTAGCGTTTGAACGTTCACGTAAGCTTTTTTTTAACAGCCAGTATTTAAATCAAATTATGTTCCATTTTGAATAAAATGTGAATCAAATAATCTACCTAGCAATAGGTGGCGCTAATGCACTTATGTATCAGAGACCTGCCGCTCTTAAAGTAAACGAGGAAGTCTCGGGAAACCCAAGACTAAAGGCAAAGGACTTTATTATCACAGGGTAACGTTGTGTCTTCAAAGCTGAGGTAATTCGTTTTTGATTTATATCATACAACAATAAAGCACTCGTTTAAATATAATGTTAAGGTGTTTTCTCTGTTGTTGCCACCAAGTATAAGTTAAATTTAAGCGTTTTTTCAGGCTTCTGCTGACTGAAATAGACATTAGCCAAACAGAAACCGTTTGAGAAATGTTATAATTAAGCAATATGTTTCAAACTATTTCAACTCAAGAGGTCGCTTAGAGGATTTCTGCTTGCATTCTAGAAATCTTCTTTAAAATAAAATTGGTCCCATTTTGCATTGTGTTCTCCTAGGACCAATCCCAGATAGCACAAACTTGTTAACTTCCCATTTTTTGTTTCCAAACAGGATTGAAGAATACTTTTAAGTTAAAGACCTTAGGTCTTTTAAGTGGAAACTAGTTATCAATTATTAATTATTGGATTAAAATGGTTAGCTTCTTTACTCTCAAATATTGCATCTCATTCACTGATATGTATTTATTTTTTTCATAATTACACACACATTTAAACTTCTCACAAAAATCTTCCACTAAATTCAATACATGTGAACTTATTCTGTAGATTTGGAGTCGTCTTAATGAGCGCCTGCTTGCATGAGTTTAGTAATTTGCAATTTTTGCTTGCTCTATAAAAGAGTAATATACTGTGCTTTTTATGTTGCTGTGTAACCACTGTATCAGTCTTGGTGCTGGAGCGCATGACATTGGGAACTTTTTCTGCTGAGAGTTGTCTTTTATTATCCTTTGATTTGTAAATTATACAAACAATTACTATAAAATAGGTAACCGATTTATGTGTTTTATTTTGACAGTTCTTCTCCAACTATACAGCAGTTCTCCCACAGTGAAGCTTCACCAGTAAATGCTGAAATATTTCCATCAACCAAGAAGTGAAGCAAAGTTTTTGAGAGAACAGTGAGAACATGAGTGATTCAGGATCCTGCACAATAAAACAGGAAGATACTGAAGAACAAATAGGTTGGTGATTATTCTTGATTCTAACATTTACCAATATTTGCAGAAACTCATTAAGTATTTATTTACACCAAAAAAAAAAAAAAAAGATTTAGCAAAAAAACCAACCACATTATTCAGCCTACAAATAATTCTTATAGACATTTTCAAAGTTATTGTTATGTACTCTTCTTTAGTGTGGTTTTAATCCAAATAATGAACCTAAAACCTGATTTTCCTGTCTGATGGTTTTTATCAGGTTTACAATTTAGCAAATCTACTGATTAAATTGTTATTATTACAACACATTTTTGACTGTATCTATTAATGTAACAAATTCAAATGATTGCATTGAAATATTAATATTTGCTAATATTAGGTCAGGAATTAGGTCAAATGAAAAGATAACTATATTAAATGATTATTAGGATGTTGTTTTGTGACTCATTTTTCTGTCTGTGAATCTAATTTTTCTGTCCGTAACTTTTTGAAACCTTTTTGCTTTCATTTTAGACTTGTTAAATGAGAAGACGGAGATTGAAGATCTGATTAAAAGGGGAGAGAAACATCAAATCAAAACAGAAGAACACCTTCACAGTATTTCATCAATAAGGAAAGACAACACATGTTTCACATGCCTTCAGAGTGCAAAGACTTTCTCATGCAAGGAAAGTCTGAATCTTCACATGAAAATCCATAAAGAGGTGAAGCCACACACATCTGATCAACATGAGAAGATTTCCACAGGAGAAGTTAAAGATAACATGAAAGTCCACGCTGAGGAAACGGTGTACAATTGTGATCAGTGTGACAGGATTTTCACAGATAAGAGAAATTTAGCCGCACACATGAAATTTCACAGCGGAGAGAAGCCCTTCATGTGTGATTTATGTGGGAGGAGTTTTCTTTATGCAAATACATTAAAAAAACACAGAAATTTACACAGCGCTGTGAAGAATCACGTCTGCTCCAAGTGTGGCAAGAGCTTTTTCACATATAGTTCGTTAAAAATCCACCACACAGCTCACGCTACAGAAAAACCTTTCAAATGTTCACACTGTGGCAAGGGGTTCAAATCATTACAGTGTCAACGAATACATGAGATGATCCACAGTGGAGAAAAGCCACACAAGTGCGATCAGTGCGAGAAGACTTTCAGACAGAGAAAAAGTTTACATTTACACATGAGAATCCACACTGGAGAGAAGCCGTACACGTGCGATCATTGTGGGAGGAGTTTCAGCAGAAAGGAAACCCTTAACAGTCACTTGAAAACCCACTCTGGGAATATGCTGTACACTTGTGCTGAGTGTGGGGAGGGTTTCAACAATACAGGAGATTTTACAGCACACATGAAAACTCACTTTGGAGAGAACCCTTTCTTATGTGATCAATGTGGGAAGGGTTTTCCTAATAGGACTGCATTAAAAAAACATCAGAATATACACAAAGGTTTGAAGGATCATGTTTGCTCCAAGTGTGGCAAGACTTTTTTGACAAATGCTATTTTAAAAGCGCATGAAAGACTTCACACTACAGAAACGCCTTATAAATGTTCACACTGTGACAAGGCATTTAAGTTATCGCAGTATTTGAAAATACACGAGAAGATCCACACTGGAGAAAAGCCGTACTCCTGTGATCCATGTGGGAAGAGTTTCAGACAAAAACGAGATCTAGATGTACACATTGAAAAACACACTGAAGAGAAGCCACACAAATGTGATCAGTGCGGGGCGGGTTTTGCCAGGAAGTTAAGTCTTGCTAATCACAAGAAGATCCACACCGGAGAGAACACATGTGATCAGTGTGGGATGAGTTTTGCCAAAAAAATAAGTCTTGATAATCACATGAAAATCCACACCAAACAGAAGTCTTTCACATGTGATCATTGTGGGATAAGTTTAGCCAGAAAGGAAAGTCTTGCTAATCACATAAAAATCCACACCGGAGAGAAGCCGTTCAAATGTGATCGCTGCGAGGCGAGTTTTGCCAGAAAGCAAAGCCTTGTTAATCACGTGAAAATTCACACCGGAGAGAATCTGTACAAATGTGATCAGTGTGGGAAAAGTTTCAGAAGATATAGTGTTTTTAAGGATCATCTGCTGACTCATTCTAGAAAACGAATCTATAAATGCGACCAGTGCGAAAAAAGCTTTTTTCGGCCAAGTTTTCTGAGGGACCACCGAAAAATTCATACAGATGAGAGGCCATACGTGTGTTATTTGTGTGGGAGGAGTTTTCGTTATACGAGTGGATTAAAATCACACCAGAAAAGGCACGGCGGTGTGAAGGATCATGCTTGCTCTGAGTGTGGGAAGACTTTCTTTTCAGTTAGTGCTCTAAAATGTCACCAGTCAGTTCACACTACAGAAACGCCTTATAAATGTTCGTACTGCGACAAGAGATTCAAACGGTTACAATATCTGAAAATACACAAGAGGGTCCACACTGGAGAAAAGCCGTATCCGTGTCATTCGTGTGGGAAAAGGTTTACTTATTCTACTACTCTGTACAGTCATAAAAAAAGTTCATGTCTGAGAGCAAAGTAGTTTCGAGTTCTGATGCTGTATTGTTAGTGCAATATGCACCAATTTGAAGTAGTAAATAAAACAAGGAAATAATTTCTGCTTTTGAGCTTATATCTTTTCAATAATGTCTGTGGAGGCTAGCCAAAAAGTTGTGCATAATTACTTGATGACAAAATTGCAACTGCTAACAATCAAAATTCTGTAAAACTAGATATTTCCAATTGTTAACTTCTGTGTTTACTAGGTGTTTTTGCATAAACGCTTCTTGTTTGCAATAATAGTCTAAAAAGAGTTTTTTTTTTTAATGTAGTCAACTTTAATATAAATAAACACACAACTTCTGTTTAGACATGTTTAATCCCCTGAAATTAGCGCAACAATTTTTGGCCACAATTTTGTATTGATGGTATGTAATGAAAAGCCAAACTATATGTATTTTCAGTTATCATTCTTAATCATACTCTGTATTTGCAGAGATTTTAATATTTTGTTGATCATATGAGTTTTTTTTTTATCCTTGTTTTTTCTTCTTTTGCCTTTTAGTCTAATTTTTAAATTTACAATTAATAAAGGCTGATAAATAATTTTTCTGCGAACCATGACTAAGCTAACAAACAAATCTTTGTCAAACTATGCATTTTAGATTGTTAACTTGCGTGTTTACTAGATGTTTTGACTGACAACATAAAAATTGGCTAACTGGGTTGGCAGATGACTTAAGAGTTATTGTTAAATGCTGTCAATACATAATCGAACTAGACTATTTAGATCAGGGGTCCGTTCTTCGTACGTGGATTACTCAGTTAGCTGGATTTGGATATTGACGATTTGACACGATCCAGGATCGTTTCGTTCTTCAAAGCTGATCCGGGAGTTGTTGTCATAGCAACAGTTCTGCTAGCTCAAACCTGATCGGAAGCAGGTTCAATTCATATAAACAGGATTAGATCGGCTCAGTTCAAGCAAAGATAGTAGAGAAAGCATGTACCGAATTCTGAAATTTTCTTACAGTAGTAGTTATATACACTTAGGAAAATAGTTCATATTTTTAACTATATATATATATATATATAAAGTTATAGTTATTAATAAAATAAATAAAACTTATGCAATCTGCACCCCTGAAATAAAAGTACAAAGACTGCCACTTGTTGGTGCAAAAAGAAAACTTATTGATATGAACTTTTTAGATCGCTTACAATTTGTGTATGATAATAATAATGCAGAATATGTGACTTTTTAAAAAAAGCAATAATACATTAATGCAGTCATAAACATGTTTTGACAGTTAATATGCCAGTGATTATGCTTTACAAAAGTTGCAGATGCCTTTACCAATATCAAAATGCTTTTGTAAACATCCAGTTATTCCCTACAGTGATTAAAAAAACGGCTTCTATAATAAAGAAAATCTTTTCTAAACGTAGAAATAAATACATTGATATGCATTGAAATACATGATGAAAACTCTTGACACATGAAAGTGTAAAGCCTGCCACTCATAACAAATGTGGAAAGTTATTGGGTGTCATATTTGACAAAATGTTTCTGCTAATTTGTTGTAATTTTGCTCACATGGATAATTGAATATTAATCAGATGATGTCATTACGCTGCTGTGCCATCAGCAAATCCTTGCATTGCTGATCATGATTTCGAGGATCGATAGATCTGTCCTTCACAACACACGGAGCGATCTCAGATCAGTTCATCCAGACATTCTAATTTGATTTGCGAACTTGTTTGAAGAACCAAATTAGCGAGAGATCAGTGATCAAGATTAAAAGATCCAGGATCTGCCAAATCATCTTAGATCATTTAAGCGAGGTACGAAGAACGGACCCCTGGACTGCATTTCGCTGTTTGTTATTTTATTTTGAGTGGTTTATGACCGTGGTAAAGTTAGTTTTACATTTGACATTCGGTTTCAAACCAAGTTAAATTCTTTGTTCCTGCTATTGTTTGAGTCAAAACTATGTCAGAGAGACATAAATGTGTGCTGAGATACTGAGATATATAGGCGAGATAATTTTACCCCAAGTCAATGACATTTTTTGAGCTAGCTTTTATTTATTTATTTTGTATAGCGCTTTTACAATGTAGATTGTCTCAAAGCAGCTTCACATAAATGGTCATAGTAACTGGAACACAGTAGTTCAGTTTTTAGTGTTTAGGTTCAGTTCAGTTTAGCTCAGTTCAGTTCAGTGTGGTTTAAAATCATTACTGAGAGTCCGAACACTAAAGAGAAAATTAATCGATGGGTAGCTCTACCGATCCCAAACCATGCAAGCTAGTGGCAACAGCGGAGAGGGAAAAAAAAACTCTTGTTTGTCTTATTTTGACTGCTATACTATTATAAATAGTGAAAATAACTCATCAAAAAAGGTTTTAAGACCAAGTGGAATCCTCTATTGAGTGTTGTTTTGACTTCATCTAATCAGTTTTGGCCAGTGCAAACAATTATTTTTCATGAGTCCAACATCCAGCTGTGCAAGAAAACACACAGTCTGACTTATGTGAGTCATCTTTCACTACTGTATTGTTTTTAAATGGAGAAAATATTTTACAAGTGACTTTTATACTAAATCTTGGACCTTATTAAAACAAAAAGACCAATAAAAAGGTGTGAAGCACCATAAGCTGTCCATATTAAAATTAATTTGAATACTGTTGGCTATTGATGTTATCCAGGAATTTTCATGCGTACTTTTTTTTGCGTATGATGACCATCCATCTATTTAGGCTAAAATAGTGCTAAAAATGTCACTAAAATGCAGTTTTAAAACTCATAATTAAATAGTAGCCTAAATGAGGCCTATAACCGCAAATAGGTCTAATTTTTAAGAAAAAAAGAAACACCCCTTCACCAGGCTGGCGTTGTACGCAGCGCTCATGACGTCTCACCTGTCACCTGACATTACTGCAAACGACCAAGCAAACAATAATCCTAACATATTACATGGGAGTGTACGGTGGAAACAGTTTTGCAGTTTTTTTGCAGCCCGTGCAATAAGCAGACGCGGATAAAGCAAGTGCTTGTGATTTCAGGGGCGCCTCCAAGGGGTGGCCAGGGGTGGCCACGGCCACCCCTCGGTAAACTCTGGCCACCCCTGTGGCCACCCCAATATAATTTTGCGGTTGACATTATTGATTTAAATGAACTTATAAATTCCCAATATTTAGATAAATAAATAAATACATAAATAAATAAATAAAATGCAGTCACTAAATTATTGTTGGTGTTACTGACGTAGCTCTCCCCCTCTGGTTCAATGCTGGTGAAAGCAAACTGACGCATGCGCGCGGAAAACCATTCCCGCGCGCCTCACGCACTCCTGTGTGAATCCCGGTTGGTTGTTTGCATGCACGCCGACATAATAGGCACCGCTCATGCGCCGTGAAACCGGAGTAACAGCCTTTTGTGCAGAAGTGTCGGCACACAGCGAGTTTTGAAAGTCGTTTAAAGTTTATATAATATGATGATGATGATGATGATGATGATGATGATGATGTTAATTTCACTAAGCATGCCTTTAAAGCAGAAAGGAGGGATAATGAGTCAGGGAGGTAAGACTTTATAACATGATTTCTCAGCCATGATCTGGTCTAAGACCACAGATAATTCTATAATACATTTTTTGTATTCTTTAGAATTGTCATAATTAATTTTCATGCAAAAGGTTTCTTAAGTGATGTTGGCATATCACTCCAGTTGTTGTTTTCCAGTAATATTTAGGACTGATTTCTGTTATTTATTTAGAATAATAATTGTATAATAATATTAATTGTATTTATTTAGAATAAATATAAATAAATTTTTATATTTATTGAATAACAAATCTAACAATTCAAGAGAGGTGGGGATGTATAGGGTGGTTCGCCAAGGGTGTCATTTAAACTAGAACCGCCACTACCCTCCCCGTTCGTCCTTGACAGCACACACACACCTTCAATAGACAGCAATGGCTATTTAATATTTACCTTAAGCTACAGTATATCAATAGAAGAAGCTGCATTAATAAAATGGTTCAAAAAGCAATATGGATAAATAATATTATTAGGTATAGGGAGTGTGTATAGTAATGCCTTTTGTTCAGTTTGTTCATTTGTTTGGGTAATTAATAAACTCATTATTCTTTCATTCATTTTCTTTTCGGCTTAGTCCCTTTATTAATCCAGGGTCACCACAGCAGAATGAACCGCCAACTTATCTAGCACATTTTTACACAGCGGATGCCCTTCCAGCTGCAACCCATCACTGGGAATAATAAACTCATTAATCTTCATTAATTTTAGACATGGCATATCTCGTATGATGTACAATAAAGGCACGTAAAAAAAGAAGTCATTTATACAGTATATGAAAAGTGTTTTTAAACTAAACATAGATTTTTATTTGGTTTGCACATGTACTTGCTGAATTATTTCAAAGAATAAATTGCAATATTTCAAGTAGAATTAATTAAATGAATAAAACTACATTATTTCATTTACCAGAAACAAAAATATAACATTACACTGAATTCATTATTTTTCTTTGTGTGCCACCCCAAGATTTGGTGCGGCCTCTTCTGGCCACCCCTAAGAAAATTTTCTGGGGGCGCCACTGTGTGATTTACATGTGAAGTCAATGCCATGATGCGATTAGAGATCCTGCTGCTGCGCGAATCGGGCGTTTCTGGCGTTCAGAAAACAAGAGAGAGTGGGATCATCTAACAAACGGAGCAGTGGAGCAGACAGATAAGCAACCAGCTTTCAGTGATGGAGAGGATGACAGCCGCTGTACGTGGCTACAATGAAGTAAGCATCAATTATTTTTGATTTACATGTATGGCTGCAGGCATGTAGTTACCAGCCTTCGGGACCATGTTAGAGACTTCTGTGAGATTTCCAGTGGGCCGCGGTCTTTTTAGGCCGGTGAGCATTTTGTCTTTTAATTAGTTCGTGCTGTAACTTGTAATTATATCCGGACGTACATATTATATAGATTAATCCTAGGTTTATGTGTCTTTCTGACTGGCCACATAAAGCTGACGCGAACTGACTAGTAAAACTGCTAAACACGTGACGATTGGCTGAGCATGGACCAATCAGAATCAAGTTCAAGTTTAAGAGTGGTTGCTGCGCAACTGTTGACATGCTGCGATAGTGAACATAAAATATACAACATCTTTACAGTCATTGATCCAAACGTAAAGGAGGAGCTGAGGGAGAAAAAAAGACAAACACTTGAAGCAGAAGCCACCAAATATGTTGAAATAAATGAGTTAATCGCTAAAAGGCTGGCAAAAGACTTTGGTGAAGATGTTAGCAGGGCAGCTCTGACTGAGGTGAGACGGCCATTTAATAGGATAAAATGGTAATCAGTATATACTAAAAGTTTTTAATTATTAAGCGATTTGCAGTCGTGATATTGCTTTAAAAACACATCAATCCAATTAATAAGAAACTGTTAAGTGACTTACAATGTCTGACTAAAACAAAGTTGCCTGATTTAGCTTTATTTTGTCTAACTGACCTGCTGCAGCTTCAACACGGCAGTGTTTCATTTGTGAATTCATACTAAGACATTTTCTTTTTGGCTTAGTCCCTTAAGTTAATCTGCGGTCGCCACAGTGGAATGAACCACTAACTTATTTAGCATGTGTTTTATGCAGCACTGGGCAGCATGTGCTTCCAGCTGCAACCCATCACTGGGAAACATCCATACACACTCATTCACACACATACACTTACAATTCAGCTCACCCAATTCACCTACCACGTGTTTTTGGACTTGTGGGGGGAACCAGAGCACCCGGAGCAAACCTACATGAACACGGGAAGAACATGCAAACTCCCAACTGAAAAATATCAACTGACCCAGTCAGGGCTCGAATCCAGTGACTTTCTTGCTGTGAGACGATTGTACTACACTGCTCCACCGTGCTGCCCCATTTAATGTTTTTTGAATAAATCAAGTGAGTCAGTGATTCAACTACCCATTCATGAAGACAGTCACTTGTTTTGCACCTAAATGAATTAGCTGTTCAAATGAATAAATTAAATGAATGATTCAGTGATAAAATCAGTGATTTGGCATCACATAGAGGCTATTTAATTATTTTAATTTTTGCAGTAAAATTTAAGTTATTGAAAACATTTTAACCAACCAACATTTTTGTATTCAAACAGTACTTACAACATCATTTCATTTTCTTTTTGGCTTAGTCCCTTTATTAATCTGGGGTCGCCACAGCGGAATGAACCGCCTACTCACAACAGGTCCAAAGCAACTTGTTTAAATTAATATTTAACATATTAATAAATAAATAAATGGAAGGAGCTCAATAAATATTAAAAAAATATTTTAATTGAGATTTTCTGAGAAGATATGCATTATATATATATATATATATATATATATATATATATATATATATATATATATATATATATATATATATATATTTTTTTTTTTTTTTCCCTGTTTGGCATACTCTTCTTATTTTAAAAAGTACCATTTTATCATACTGCTTCAATTATTGGCCCTAATACACTTAAATAGCAGGTATAAATAAGTCTGAAACAAACTTGAAATTATTTTTAGGATAAATGTTGTTTGCCAAAATGGCAGCAGTTATGATCACACTGAGAGAGCTCTTCTTCCTCACAGGACAATTTGCTTTTATTAACATGCCCACAGATTGAATACACTTTCAATTAAACCTCCATAGACATGTTCTTACTTTCACTTTCGATTTTGTGCCTATTAAAGATTATGCAAATGAATATACTTATGAATATATATATATATATATATATATATATATATATATATATATATATATATATATATATATGAATATATATATACAACGATATATACAGCTGGATATACGATAGATACACGAAAGAACGATATATACAGCTGGATTTTTATGAAGAATGCATTTTAGGTTATTTTTTAGCTTATAATTTAGGCCTAATGTTACATCACAACTGTTAAATCTGGGTCTTTATTGTTCAAACCTCAATATACTTTTTTCTTATTTACAAGTGTGTTCTTCAGGACTATATAATGAGCTTAGAAATTTGAGATATATTCATAATTAATCTTTAATAAATTAACTAAACTGGTTAGATTTCAGTCAACTAAATTGAGAGTAGATTTAGTCGATTAAAATCACATTACATTTAGTTGACTAAAACTAGACTATAATTACAATGAATTCAACAGACTAAAACTAAATGCCATTTTAGTAAAGAGACTAAAAATTAATCATAAATTGCTGTCAAAATTAATTAAAAGTCACCACAATGCTAGTCTACCCAATAGTATTTGAAAGTCCTAATGTCTACTCAAGCTGATCTAAGTCCATTTATGCATTCAGAGAAATTGCTGTAATGCTGTTAAGTAATAGGTGATAAAGCACAATAAAAAGAAACATAGAAGAGTTAACATGAGGAAGCGATATCACTGGCATTCAGGTGAAAATGAGTTTCTTGCATGTGTTTTTTCACTCACTCCAGGCACTACTGGTTTTGTAGCGAATGTCTTAGTAGGGAATCTACAAATCCATATTCATATCACATCATCTATTACCGTTATTACTGTAACAGTTGCACTGTGTATACTGTAGAGGGCAGCATTTAACCTCCTTTACTTTATGTGGGCTATCAAACGAATGACATTTTTCAATAATAGAAATATTATATTGTATTTCAGAAATATTTATTTAGCATTTGGAGGAGATTGTTTGCTTCTAAATAGACTATTATTTGTGCAATAATTATGATTAATTAATTGTTTCCTGAAGTTTGTTGCCGTAAAATTTAAAGTTGAGGCCACTTTTTTTTTTTTTTACAGTGTGGTTTAAACGGTGAGCGTTTACAAATTTTTACCTTATTTTCTTTTATTTAAAGGTTACATTTTTTCTCCACAATTGGCAGTATTGGATTCAAATAATTTTAAAGGTAAAATACAGAAAGGGTTTTAAACTCGTATGATAAGAGAATTCAAGGGCCATTTTTGCGACAGGGAGAATTTTTTTTAACTTGTAATGCCATAAAATACACACTAGGTGCCAATGTGGCTCTTTACTAAATATATGCAAGATTACCCTAATAATCCTAAGCAAACGACAGATAGCTTACCTATCTAAGAAAGTCAGGTAAGAAAGTCATACCTGCTTATGTCTTTGATAAGTAATTTTTTAATATAATGATTAAACACAATATTTGATAAAACCCTAGATGTTCTAAAATGTGAGATTTAAACAGTTAATAACTACTTTCTTTTTTAAAATGATAATTGTATTAGGTCAAACAAAAAGGCATTCAAAAACTGCATTTAGCAAAAGGTTTTTATTTGCTTATTTGCACTAATGGCATTACAATGTGGCAGACCTGGTTCTACAAATACTGCCATTCCCCTTTAGTACATGACATGGTTTAGCTGCTGAAAGTGAAGGCGTGAGTAAACTATAAGTAATTATTTTTGTCAGAGGAAACGATTTTTATTGAGGCAACACTTAACGTAAACATGTGGAGGTCAGTGAAATGTCATAATAAAATAATTGACTGTATAAAAACAAAGAGGCATTTTGTGTTAATACTCTACTTGTGACTTTTACGAAAATAATTCCCATAAGGCTACATAATACAGTATTAGTACAAGGAAAATGCTGTGTAATGCAAAGTTTTCTGTTTTAGGCTCAGAGCTAAAATGTTAAATACAATGGAAATTTTCAGCATTAGCTGCACAAAGTTCCCATTTTGCAAGTTTAACAGCTGCATTCAATTGGTCTGCCAAAATGTCAGGAATAAGTTCTGTTTGGAAAGAAGGAAACCCATAAAATAACTGTCAGTTAACTATTGACACTCCCATTCATCTGAACAAAAGACGTTGTCAAAAGGATAATCTCAACGGTTTTAACAGCACGTTTAGTAACAGTCAGACTGGTCAAAGGACACCTTACACTGATAAGCTCCTTTTGAATTGCTTTTGTTAATACTTAAGGCAATATAAAAAAAATATACTTAGCAATGTAAACAGTGTAGAAATATACTAAATATGTATACAATTAGAACTTAGTATGACATTTTTGGACTTGGATTGGTGTATTGGTCCCAATATTGCTAATTATTACAACACGTCTTCCTGAGTTCTCTGTTAAATCTAAACTAAAAGTAGAAATAATCCAGAAACACAGGTGAGCTTGTCAGAACATGTCTTGCCTTAGACAAAATTTCTTATACACGACTACCCACAAATCAAGTATCAACAGGTTTTAAGACTAACTGATGTAACTGTCAAACATTCAAGCTCTAATGTGCAGCAACGCCTTAGTCATCTATATCAGGGTATATGCAGGAATCCTAAAGAAAATTTCAATACCTTTTTAAAGACCTTGTAATATTTTAACCTCGTCACCACTTCAAGTTCTTAATCAGTATCAAACCTTTAACTTAATAAACAGTTGTTCTCATAATTGATTTATCAAATTATAATACTTTTTAAGACCCCGCAGACACCCTGTATATATGAAATGTTTTTCAAAGTTAGTTCTACCGAGTTAAAAATTATTCTGAAATGTTTGACATTAATAAAAGCAGTATGACCAAATGTGTTTTTTCAACTAGCTCTTTAGATTATCAAACTAAGACAAGCACAAAACATCCCCCTTTAATACTGTATTCAGCTCTATCCACTTGCTATGCTACTGTTGAAAATGCTTAATAACCATGGTAAACTACAGCGCAGAGGCACTTTTAGTCCTGAAATGAATACTTCAGTATGACTTTTTATATGCTATTGTTATTGTTGACTGCATATAAAAGCTGGGATCGATGTCATCTTGCATTAACGCTGGAGTATATGATGTGGTCGTCTTGATTAGTTGGCTGAAAAACAAAAGACAAACATTAGAAATGAAAACATAATAATGCTGTTGTTTGATTAAATCCTTCTTTATGGTAAAAGCATTACACATCCATCTGCTGCTCAAGGACAACATTTACAAGCACATGAAGGCATGAAAGCAAAAAATTTTATCACCTGGCACGTTTGAGCTTACAAAACAACCAATGATTTCTGTTTTTAAACGCACGTCATGATTTTGCCAAGATCATATGATCCAGGATTAACATATATGTTGATCCTGGAACATAATTTTTGTTTGAAAAATGTAATGTTTTGATGACTTAAGGCTGATTTATACTTTCGATTGGCTTCACAGTGCGAGCCTCATCTGAGTGTGCGCACAGAGTTGCGAATTGTGAAGGCTTTCACACTTGATGCGCTCGCTGCTGTACTGTTATTTGCAACAACAGCAGGCGATTTGAAGATACTGCTCATACATACATAATATATATATATATATATATATATATATATATATATATATATATATATATATATATATATATATATATATGCTAACTGCATACTTAATGCAAAAACTTCTATGCATTAAGAATAAAAAATACATTGACTTAAAAAGCAAATGACAAGCTGTGCACAAAATATATGCAGTGTTTTGATCAATGCTTCAAAAGAAACCTGAAGGACGTCACACCAGGCAGTTGTTTTAGATGTCTAAAGGTTGTCACATGTATGTTCATACAGTTTGGCCCGACTCAGCTTTTCACATCTTTGCATGCATCTTTGGATGGGGAGTCACACACATACACTCTCAGAAATAAAGGTATGCAAACTGTCAATGGTATGATACCTTTTCAAAAGGTACACATTTGTACTGAAAGGGTCCATATTGGTACCTTAAAAGTATATATTAGTACCTAACAAATTTTAAGAGGAACACTTTTTTACTTTTTATGTACTAATATGTTTCCTTGAGGTATTAATATGGACCTTATTGGTACAAATTTGTACCTTTTGAAAAGTGACAGCTTGTGTACCTTTTTTTCTGAGAGTGTAGTTTAAAAAAAACGTTGTGTGCTGCTCCATCCGAAATGATGTCACGCACACTCTAACTGAACCTCTGCCAACACTATCACATTCGCCACACACACCCAAACGAACTTGTGGATGGATCAAATATAAACCAGCCTTTAAGGCTTTTAGGCTTATAGAATGTCATTGGATAGACAGAAGTCCATCTGAAATTTATCCATCTGAATCCATCAGAAATGTCCGTCTTCAAGAGAAAATGCAAAATATCTTAATTTGTGTTCTAAAATTTTATTTTAGAGTGAAGTAATCTTTTAAATACTAGTAAACCATACATTCATAACGTCCATCTCAAGGGATTAAAATAAAACAGAGTTTTGCTTTTGAAAGAATTTGGGGGATTTTTGGACGAAGGGGATATTTTCCAACACTTTCCCTTTCCATTCATTATAAAGACTGGTGTCAATTGCAAGTTCCAGTGCTTTCCTGGATTTTCATTCATTCATTTTCTTTTTAACTTAGTGCCTTTTTAATTTGGGTTTGCCATAGCAGAATGAACCACCAACTTATCCAGCATATGTATATAGAAACGCCAACTAACCCAGCCGAAGCTCGAATCATTGACCTTCTTGCTGTGAGGCGACAGCACTACCTACTGCGCCACCGCGTCGCCTTTTCCTGGATTTTATCATGCTGAGTTTTACTATTTGAAATGTATATATGCGGAATTATCATTGGAAAAAACATGTGTTTATTTTCGTCTGATGTCTGTGACATTACAGAAGCATAATCATAGTATTCAGCAAATTTAAAACCTCCTAAACTCTACTAGAAGTAAGAGATGAGAGCACTTTTGGTATTTGGAGTGAATTCAGGAATTCCAGTATATGGCACTGTGACCGCCCAAGTATAAAATTGTGCAAGCACAAAAAGACATTAAGCTAGACACTGCAGTTTAAAATGCTTAGCTGTTTTGTAATCACTAAAACTGCTTTGTCACATCTGCGAGAGCAAGCGATTTTATTCTGAGCATCTGAGGTAAAAGCAAAGGCTTCTGCAGACTAACAGATTCACAGCAAACAGAGAATCTTACCGCCTTATGAACTCTGCGTGCATGAAATGTTGTTTCTGCGTAAAGTACCTCTTCGTCACAAGTCTGAACTATTTCAACAATAATAATACTGTTCAAATGTCAAAGTACTATAGTTCAAAATAGTGTTTATTAGGGCAGCACGATATTGGAAAGTTTTGACATTGCAATAATTATTTCCCTGTAATATATATTGCCATATAAATACAATTTCACTAAAATAGATCTATTTGGATAGTCAATGGGATGATTTGTATGGGAGTGAAATTTCAATACATGCAAATTAGGTAACACTTTATTTTGATGGTCCATTTGAATATTAGTAGATTGTCTGGTTAATATTTGTTGATACTGCTCCTTCAACAGACGTTTAACTGACTATAAGAAACATTGCAAGTACATGTCAATTTATGCTAACGCTAATCCTAACTAATAATCTTCTACTAATAAGTCTACTAATAATCTAATGGGAATTAGTTGGCATGTAGATGCAATGTAATTTAGGCGCAATCCCAATTCTATTTTTGTACCCCTACCCATTGGCCCTTGAAACCAATGAGTGAGTGTAAAGGGGAAGGGCTTCAAAATTGAACCCAATGAATTGGGACAGCACTACAGCACACGTCATCACATGTCATCGCGATGTCTTGCTTTATATGAGATCAGACGATGGCGACTGCTGTAGTTATTCAAGTTGTGTTATTTTTTTGGTATTTATCTTCAGAAAATCACTGGAGGCATATATCATGTTATCATAACGATATAATGTGGCAATAAGATCGTAACTGTACTGTGCATTTACACAGTGGATGGGCTAAAGGGTAGAATTGGGATTGGGCCTTAAATTCCACAAACAAACCATCAAAATAAAGTGGCACAGTAATTTATTATATACACAAAATAAACTACAGTCATAAATAATGATAAAGTTACATAAACATTGATTTCTGCGGAGTGTATAACAGTATTCCAGGCAAAAAATTAGTAATTAAACGTAATAAAGGACTGCATAGTCTTCATTAAATAAATAATTTTTAAAAACCTTTTTAAAAACATTTATATGCTCTTTGTTTTCTTTGAATGCTTTAAACTTTAAAATGTTCACATAGGTCTTTTAAAACACATGGAAACTTTAAACTTTCACTCTGTAATGGTTAAATTCTGTAGTGTCTCCACAAATCTCATGTGTTTCTCCTGTGGATTCTGGTCATCTACATTCATAACTCAACATTCCATATCCATCAATGTGACTACTGCGGATGCACACATTGCAATATCATTTGCTCAAAAAATATATTGTGCAGCCCTAGTGTTTATTAAACCATATATAGCTGCACATTTTGATTTACTTTTTAGTCATGTTAGTTAATTAATAAATTAATGGATTTACTTACCCGATTTGCATTTTCTTTGATGAAAGTATATCAGTACTGCACTGGATACAACCAAAACCAGTATCACACTAACTGTTATTCCCACCAAATGTGAATTCTGCAGGGGTTCTGTAAATAAAAAATAAAAAAAATGATAATATAAATGATTCCTACAGTGTCTGACTTTACTGAAGATGTAGTTGTGAAGTCTTTAAAGAGGGATAATTGAAAACATGAAGAAAATGTTATTTTGTAAAAAAAGAAAACAATTCAATTTTAGTAATTTATCAACCATTAATATCAGCAATGATGTACCTGATCTTTCCTGACAGGTTTGACTTGTATTCAGATGTGTGGTGCGGTTTGTGATGGGATTGTTGACCACACAGCTGTAGGTGTTGTTATCCTGATATTCCACCTCCAGAGGTAGAGAGAGACTGATGCTGAGATTAGACACACTGATGTTGGACAATACACTGTTTCCTTTGTACCAGGAGAGACTCACAGCACTCACATTCAACACTGAACACAACACTGACAATCTGGACACTGATGAACGTTCAGATGATGAAGATGATGATAATGAACAGTTTCTGCTGATGACAGGAAAAGGAAGATGAGCTAGAAATATCAGAGGGGAAAATGTTAAAATGTTGCTTTAAAAAAGTAATAACTTGAAAATTCTACATTTTTTCACATAATTTTATTTTTTTTAAAGCCCAATTGAAGCACTTTTAATTAAATTAATTGCTAAAAAATAATGCAAACTAATTTGAATGTAGACACATTTACAAAAGCAATCTTAAAACCACATCTATATAATTATTTTTTCGTTTATTTATTTATTTATTTATTAAAGTTTTGATCGTACTCACCATACACTGTAACTGTAAAAGTCTTTTGTGAGAGTGCTCTGTCGTTGCGAATCAGGAGTTTATAAAGTCCAGAGTGTTCAGTTGTGATGTTTCTGATGGTCAGAGATCCAGTGTGATTGTCCATCTGCAGTCTGTCTCCATATACCACATTGGGATATATGTTGATGTTCTTCCCCTTGATTTCAGCTATAATATTGTCTAAATTATTGATTTTATGCGTCCACACAATCTCCTCTATCTGTCCACTTAACTTTATATCTGTGTTTAGAGTGACAGATTCTCCCTCAGTCACGGACATCACTTCATCTGTGTAAACAAATGTATCTGAAATGAACAAACATTTAAAAATGTGTATTAATACTTTTGGCAAGAGAGAAGATAGTATGGCACAATCTAAAAAAGTTCACTAAAGTAAACATGACCAAAGGTACTTGTCAAAATGTTTTTGATGTTTGTAGTATAATCTTAATATCATCTTTTCATTTGCTCAGCTGCTGTTGGTTGTTCATTATTTATTAAGGTGTTATTGTTTAAGCGTGTGTTTATTTTTAGGTGGGTTTAGAGATGGTGTACTCCAAGGTGAACATTTTCCACACTGTAAAAACAAAAACTCTTAGAACCTTATTTTTGTTGTTATTGTTGAATCAATTTTACTTTTGTAATCATCTAATCAATGAAACTGACTAAAATATTAGGTTAAATTTTGTCAAAATAATATGTAGTTGAAACCTGATTAACTTATTAGGTTGAAGTTAGCCAAATATAAAAAACAGCTTTTTGTCAGAGCATTTTTTTACATTGCAACATGTCGACAATAGCTTGTTTTTGCATGCTGTGACCTGCATTTTGCTGGTTGGTTAGATAGCCTATTTTGCATTACATTTATTCATTTACCTGACGTATTTATATGTGAAAACATAAAATAGATAATTTGGAAGTCAAGCACACTTAAATATGACATTTATATAAATGAACAAAAGAATAACTCACCACTTGAGAACCAAATAATGCACAGACTGACGAAAAAAGATTTACGAATCATATTCCTCAATCTACATGTCCGTATGTAAATCACCTCATGTATAGCGCGTTTGATTGTTGACGCAAAACGTTTACTTATCTAAGTGTTTTGTTTGAACTGCGTATAGTAAACCGACTACAAAAATCCACATTAGGCACTTATCCTTTTCTCCATTTTTAGCAAACAAAGGCCCGTTAGAATGTACATGCGCAGGCTTTGTAAAAAAAAAATCAGCCCGTGATCTATCCGTTCCTGGTTCTAACGTAGTCTTACTTTGTTAAAATAAATAAATAAAATAAAGAAATACAAAGTTTAAAACGCACTTCTTGATTTTTGATGTTCAGTCTTTCATTGCTCCGCCTATGACGAAAAATACGCCTCGCCAATTCTCCCTCCCCTTCTCTTCGCATCTTTATCACGAGGTCAACAGTAAACTTTTACTAAACGTGATGTAGGCCGTTTATGTATTAAAACAAGTTATTGACCCAAACAGGATGAAGATGTGCGACGTGACATAGCCTAGATTTTTTGCAAGATTACATGTTCAGTTTGTGGTTTGCCGCTTTTCTGTAAACTCATAACTTCTTCCTGCCATCATCTCATCAGAGTACAGTTATATAAGTGATCAAGTGGTGATAGATGGCTAAAGATAATAAAGCCTACTTTACCCTTCCGCGGCTGATGATCCGGTGTGACGACCCTTGATGAATATAAAGTTGGTTGGACATTTTGACAGAGATTCAGCCTCTGCAATCTTCAGTAGTTCGTAAACGATTTAGCACAATGTCAAGAAACATACAGTGTTCTTAAAACATCTTAGAATGTCCAAAAGAACACACGTTGTTTTATTTGTTTCCATCTGTCCTAATGTAATACAATAGCTCTTATATGTAATAGCGCAGCATAGGGACTGTCTGCAAAGTGCAAAACCAAGAGCAAAAAACTACATTGTTCCAGCTAAAAGCTGCACTTGTGAAATGTATAAAAATAAATCTCAAATCTGATGGGTCTTACTAGTTCAGCAAAGAACATTTAGATCTTTTTTTAATTTATTTACCAGAATTACAGCACAAAAACGTTATTGTAACTATTGAAAAAATCTTGAAAACTATTATAAAGTTTGTTCAGTATGGCGCCCCCAAGATGAACAAGGTAAATTTTTTAACATAGATTTTAATATTCAGATATTTGAATTATTCATTAATTCCTTTGTTTTTTTTTGGCTTAGTCCCTTTATTAATCAGGGGTCGCCACAGCGGAATGAAGCACCAACTTATCCAGCATGTGTTTTACACAGAGGATGTCGTTCCAGCTGCAACCCATCAGAGAAACACCCATACACTCTTGCATTCACACCCTCACATACACTATGGCCAATTTAGTTTATTCAATTCACCTATAGCACATGTCTTTGGACTGAAACCGGAGCACCCAAAGGAAACCCGCTTACACAAGGAGAACATACAAACTCCACACAGAAATAGCAACTGACCCAGCCAGGGCTCGACCTGCTTGCTGTGAGGCAACAGTGCTACCCACTGCGCCACCGTGTCGCCCATTATTTGAATAATTGCTTTTGAAAACAAACACTATTAATACACCAACCTAAAAGAGTGTGCCTTGTTAGTGGTTCATAGGTCCAGCCAGATTGGTCCAATGACAGTGTCCACTGGTGGATGAAGGTTTACTGCATGTTCTGTCTTTCCAGTGCACAATGTTGATTTACTTTAAACTTAACTCATATCTGACTCCAATTTTAATATGAGTTGTTTTAGAATATTAATATATTTATCCTCGTTTTATCTGACTCCAATTATGAAGAGTAAATTACATTGTATAGAGTAAATTTCAGGAAAAAGTTGAACTGAATGACCTGTTCTGTTTGAACTCATAGATTTCTGTGATAAAGTATGTTGTTAATGCTGTGATATACTTCTGTCGTTCCAGGTCATGTGATTGTGTGCAGCTTTCACCCACAAACAGTGTTTCCAGCTTGAGTTTTGCATCTCGTATCTCCATTAATTGTCAACCGCCCCACATCTAACCATCAAAGACCACAGCGCATCTCATCTGGAGCAGGTACAGTAATGTGTCACAGTGCATGAAGCGGCGAGCGTTTGATCTGTGCATTTTAAAAATAGACCTCGTGCAGGTTTGCTCGGGTGCAAACCAGTACAAAGAAACATTCTGAAGTATTTATAAAAGTACTCTTCATACATTAATTATGTTTTATACCAATGAAAGCATGAATATTATGTATATTAAAGTCATTAAATGATAATATTCCCCCATGGTTTAAATAAATCATTATTTTCTACCAGGCCTAAAAAGTTTAAATATTAAAACGGGCCCACAAAAATGTCAGGTTGTGATAATAGAAACTTAAATAAACATTTAGGTCAGCTCCTATTCTATAGTGACATATAGTATTTACTGCTAGCTTTTGTGTCTAAATGTATTTGATAAATTTTTTATATTGTTATATTAGATTTTTTTTAAAGTTATTTGATGCTACTTTAGCCTTTGTCAAGTGCTTTAATGGTATAATGGACTAATTGACTACAATATTGTCATATTACTATACTGTAAATTTATAAAAACTCATTGATTTTGTTTTTATTTAGTTTCTTTGTCTTTTAGTTCTTTGTTATCTTATAACCTTTAAATTATACAGGTTTAAGTGCATTATATGTCTGATGGTCTGTCTTGAATCAGGTGGCTGTGTATCAGGAAGTTTCCACTTTGCATTGCTTATAATGAAAACGTACAGGTCACAACAGAACAGTGCTACAGAAAAGTGGAAATTAAAATACTGTTGCCCACTCATGTGGTGTTTATATAAATATTAAGATGTTGGCTGAACATTTAAAACAATACCAGATTGAACAAAGATTTGCAACATTTGTTTTATTAGACATAAAAGAAGACATTAGTGCAATTTAAAACAGTTTTATACAGACTTTTATAATCCCATTAAAACAACAATTAATTCTTTATAAACTCAAACATCCCTGTGTTTTGATGTTTTAATGAATAAAAAGAAATATTCTACCTTCATAAGCTTAGCAGCTGTCAATACTGACCAAAGATTTCCAACATTTGTTTTAAATTAAGACATTGGTGCTAATCTTTTGAGGTATTTGTACCAATAAAACATAATTCATAAAACACAAACTCTCATATTGTCTTATCTGTGTTCCAGATTGCAAGGGTGGGAAGGAAGAATTCAGAGGTAACCAGTAGGTCTTTTGAGTTTTTATGGTGTAAGCAGGGGACAGACATGGAGTAGCAGATAATATTGAGACAAGATACTTGAGAGAGTTGAGAGTGGGGTTTTATGCAGTCCCGGAAATGAGGAGCAGGGTGAAATAAGAACTGTGGTGACTGTGCTTGGGTGACTGGTACTGGTGCTCTGGGTTGTGAGGGGACTGTGGCTGGTGGATCTGTGACAGTTAAGATGGAATCTTATTTAGCTTAAATCTATTTGAAAATCAAGAGTCTAAGGGTTTACAGCCTTTAAAGTTGTGCAAATTCTTAGCAATGCACATTAATAAAAAAATAGTTTTTATATATTTATATATTTGAAAAACTATATATTACTTTGACCTATACAATGCATGTTCGGCTACTTTACTTTTGGCTGGACTTGTTTTATCCTCCAAAGTCACATTTTATCCTAATGTCAACAAACTCTACATGTACTCTTGAGATCAGCCTTTACAGTACTGCTGATTATTGAATTCGATAGATTACTGTAGTCTTCGTGTCCACATCAAGCAATAATTTCTGTAAGAGACAGACAGAAACATTTGTGTTACAAAAAGTAGTTCATTTGATGTATAACCAAAACATTTTGATATCCTGTCAACTCATATTGATGGAGTTGAAACCAAAACATGAAGAGAGCAAGCAGATATTAAGCTAGACAAAGCACTTTAAATTGCTTGAAGATACTGTAGTCTTCTAGCTTGCTTCAAAAACACTGACATGAACATCAGCAGCTTTTGAAAAAAATTGGGGAAATCTTTTGGGATGTGGGGATATTTTTCGAAAGTTTCACTTTCCATTCATTGTAAGGATTGATGTCAATAGGGTATATGCAGAAGTAAGCAGAATGACTTTTAATTTTGCGGTGACCTGGGTCAAGTGCTTCCGCTGAACTGTATGGTTACAAAATTGGCAAAATGGAGGCCTTTTTTGTTTAAAAAAATCAGTGGTCTTTACTGCCTAATTGATATACGATATAAAGTGGGTCTCAGAATGTACAAAAAGCACTGCATTCAATTCAATTTTCCCATGTCAGTACGCCAGTGTTTTTAATGGTGTTTCTGCACTCGCCTGCTGGTCCTGATGGTCCTTCATCTCGTTTTACGCTTAAGCAACTAAATGGATGCTTAAGTCTATTTAACTGATTGTATTTTAATTATATTACAACATCAATGCTGTAAAAGGAACTGAATAAAATTAAAAATTTTCACATTAACCACTTACCAGAAGTTTATCAGTATTGGAAGAAACACTAGCTGTGCATATATCCTATTGCAAGTTTCAGTGACTTCCTGGATTATCCAGCTGCCACTGAATTATTATTGTTGAAAACCCATGCTTTTGTTTGTCTAATGTCTGTGACATTTTAGAAGCATTACCATAGTTTTCAGCAAATATATAACCTTCTAAACTTTACTGGAAGTAGGAAATGAGAGCACATGTTTGGTATTTAGAGTGAGTTCAGGACTTTCAGTATATGGCACTATGACAGCAAGCACAAAAGACGTTAAGCTAGACACAGCAGTTTAAAATGCTTAAACACTTGGCTGTTTTGTGTTTACCAAAACTGTTTGTCACATCTGCGAGAGCAAGCGGTTTTATTCTGAGCATCTGAGGTAAAAGCAAAGGCTTCTGCAGACTAACAGATTCACTGTAAATAGAGTCTCTTACCGCCTTACGAACCCTGTGTGCATGAAATGTTGCTTCTGCGTAAAGTACCTCTTTGTCACAAGTCTGAGCTGTTTCAACAATAATAATACTGTTCAAATATCAAAATACTTCAGTTCAAAATGGTGTTTATTAGGGCTGCACGATATTGGAAAGTTTTGACATTGCAATATTTATTTCCCTGTAATATATATTGCCATATAAATACAATTTCACTAAAATAGGTCTATTTGTATAGCCATTTGGATGATTTGTATGGGAGTGAAATAAAGATACATGTAATTTAGGTAACACTTTATTTTGATGGCCCATTTGAGTATTAGTAGATTGTCTGCTTAATATCTGCTGATACTGCTCCTTCAACAGACGTTTAACTGACTATAAGAAACTTTGCAAGTACATGTCAATTTATGCTAAAGCTAATCCTAACCCCAAACTAACAGTTTACTAATAATCTAATGGGAATTAGTTGGCATGTAGATGCAATATAATTTAGGCCCAATCCCAATTCTAATTTTGTACCCCTACCCATTGGCCCTTGAAACAGAGTGTAAAGGGGAAGGGCTTCAAAATTTACCCCGATGAATTGGGACAGCACTACAGCACCTGGACACGTCATCACATGTCATCGCGATGTCTTGTTTTATATGAGATCAGACAATGGCGACTGCTGTAGTTATTCCAGTTGTGTTATTTTTTTGTATTTATCTTCAGGAAATCATTTAAGGTATATATCATGTTATCATAACGATATAATGTGGCAATAAGATCGTAAATGTACTGTGCATTTACACAGTGGATGAGCTAAAGGGTAGAATTGGGATTGGGCCTTAAATTCCACAAACAAACCATCAAAATAAAGTTGCATAGGGATTTATTATATACATTTAATAAATAAACTACAGTCATAATACAAATAATGATAAAGTTACATAATCATTGATTTCTGGGGAGTGTATAACAGTATTACGGAGCAAAAAATTAGTAATCAAACATAATAAAAGACTGCATAGTCTTCATCAAATAAATAATAAAAAAAAATCGTTTTTGAAACATTCATATGCTGTTTATGTTCTCTTAAAATGCTTTAAACTTTAAAATGTTCACATAGGTCTTTTAAAACACATGGAAACTTTAAATTTTCACTCTGTAATGGTTAAATTCTGTAGTGTCTCCACAAATCTCATGTGTTTCTCCTGTGGATTCTGGTCATCTACATTCATAACTCAACATTCCATATCCTGCAATGTGACTACTGCGGATGTACATATTGCAATATCATTTGCTCAAAAAATATATTGTGCAGCCCTAGTGTTTATTAAACCATATATAGCTGCACATTTTGATTTACTTTTTAGTCATGTTAGTTAATTAATAAATTAATGGATTTACTTACCCGATTTGCATTTTCTTTGATGAAAGTATATCAGTACTGCACTGGATACAACCAAAACCAGTATCACACTAACTGTTATTCCCACCAAATGTGAATTCTGCAGGGATTCTGTAAATAAATAAATTTAAAATTGATAATATAAATGATTCCTACAGTGTCTGACTTTACTGAAGATGTAGTTGTCAAGTCTTTAAAGAGGGATAATAGAAAACATGAAGAAAATGTTATTTTGTAAAAAAAGAAAACAATTCAATTTTAGTAATTTATCAACCATTAATATCAGCAATGATGTACCTGATCTTTCCTGACAGGTTTGACTTGTATTCAGATGTGTGATGCGGTTTGTGATGGTGTTGTTGACCACACAGCTGTAGGTGTTATCCTGATATTCCACCTCCAGAAGTAGAGAGAGGCTGATGCTGAGATCAGACACACTGATGCTGGACAATACACTGTTTCCTTTGTACCAGGAGAGACTCACAGCACTCACATTCACCACTGAACACAACACTGAACACCTGGAGTCTGATGTACGTTCAGCTGCTACTGATGAGTTACTCTTGATGACAGGAATGGGCAGATGAGCTGGAAATTATCAGATAAATTCTGTAAATGTTGTATGTAGAGCCCAAAAAATAGCATAACGATAATAATAGTCAAAATTATTTTGTTTCACCAATAAAGTTTGCATTAACTCTCTAATGATTTGTGACAGAAATAAGCCCCTTAAATCTTTTTTGATTAGCTCTATCAACTGTACACTAATTTGTGATGGCCTTAGTTTTTAAATTTGTTGTTCATGGCGACTGTGTGTTTATTGATTGATTGTTATAATATCAACATATTTGCAGTGCGTGTAGCATTAAATTTCAAATTGATTATCAATATTGAAGTGATATTGCTTTTAAACTTTATTATTCTATCATGCACATAAATGAGTTAGAACTAGAGCCAGACAGTATCTGCAGACATTTTAATGTTATTTCTGCGCAGAATTGTGTATTAAAAATAATCTGCAGATTTATACATGATGATTTTGGAAGTATCGTATATAAAAACTTTATTAATGAAATTAAAAATAATGCCTTTTTAACTTGTATTTATTGTTTACAATGCAAATCTATTTAAAGCCACTTATTTGGTAAAAAAAAGCAAATCTTTCATTTAATATATCTACTAGAAGACAGAAAATAATACTTTACAAACTGCATTGTAAATAAATCAAATAAACATTTTAATATTAGTCAATGATATTACTGAAATTAATTTATTCTGTGTGGGCCTAGTTATCACTGTGCCTGTCTATGGTATACGGCATACTGCTAAACATGTGTAGTTTACAACCCTTGTAGTATATATATATATATATATATATATATATATATATATATATATATATATATATACGGCGAGGCAGTGGCACAGTAGGTAGTGCTGTCGCCTCACAGCAAGAAGGTTGCTGGGTCGCTGGTTCGAATCTCGGCTCAGTTGGCATTTCTGTGTGAAGTTTGCATGTTCTCCTTGCCTTCGCGTGAGTTTCCTCCGGGTGCTCCAGTTTCCCCCACAGTCCAAAGACATGCAGTACAGGTCAAATGGGTAGGCTAAATTGTCCGTAGTGTATGAATGTGTGTGCGAATGCGTGTGTGGATGATTCCCAGAGATGGGTTGCGGCTGGAAGGGCATCCGCTGCGTAAAAACTTGCTGGATAAGTTGGCGGTTCATTTCGCTGTGGCAACCCCGGATTAATAAAGGGACTAAGCCGACAAGAAAATGAATGAATATATACATTAATATATTTTAAAAAGCAACACAACACTGGTGGCTCCATATTATAAGCACTGTTAGGGATATTGTGCCATTTTTCCCACCATTTAGATTTGACAATATTTACAACGCTACATTATCACTCTAATTAATATCAATTTACCTATTTGAAAAAACATAGTCTATCAATTTTATAGACAATGTAGTTATTTATGGAATAAAATGTCATTTTTGTATTTAAATCTGCCAAATATAAAATAATAAACAGTTATTTATCAACAACAACATCTACTGATATCTTAGTACTGCTTTGATATTTTTTAAAGCTCAAAACACATTTAAAATGACTCACCATAGACGGCAACAGAAAATGTCCTGTATGTGGTCTTTTCTTGAATGATGGTTAGTTTATAAAGTCCAGAGTGTTCAGTTCTGATGTCTCTGATGGTCAGAGATCCAGTTTGACTGTCCATCTTCACTCGGTCAACAAATATCACAGTTTTGTTATATATATAGATGCTCTGTCTGTGTATTTCAGCAATACGAGTGTCTGCATTATTAACATTAAACATCCACAGTATCAGATCATCTCGTTGAACGTTTACATCAGTCTGCAGAGTGACAGATTCTCCCTCCATCACAGACACTGACTTCACTTCATTTGTATTAGTTACCAGACACACCTACAAACAAACATTTTTTGCTTGTGTAAATAATATACACAGCAAAAGTCAAGACACACTAATAACTTGTTCATAAACATGCCCACAAAACACATGACCTCAAAATGCAACGTTACAACATGATTTTTTTGCAGGCTAGGGCCTATAAAACGTTTGTGTGTGAAAAGATAAAACGGTTAAATTGGAACTTAACAAACAAACTTACCACTTAAGAACCAAATCCACAGACAGACGTAAAGTGGATGAATCATCCTGTATCACTACATTTCTTTTAAAAGACGTGTAGAAAGCGTTTATAGCCAAAAAGTGTACTAAAATGTACTACGTTTACGAAGAATTTACTTAATTCTGCGATCGATAGCCACAAAAAAAAAATCCACATTACTTCCGTTTCCTCCAGATTTTTCCAAACAAAAGCTCGTTAGTCTAGACGGTTGTGCGGCTTTGAAAGATTAAGATAGCTCGTGATCCATCCGTTCCTGAGACCAATTTAAGATGTATGTGAAAAATAAAATAAAATGAACAAATACAGAACTAAAAAAGCACTTCTTGATTATGTTGTTCGGTGTTCCAGTCTGAAAAAAGGAGTCACCCCAGAGCCCGCCCTCATCTTCAGATCTGTCACAAGGGGGGAGAGAAACAGCTAGTTTAGCTAATCTAGGGTGTCCGTCTTTAACAGGGACTGAATGATTATGGACATACAAAGGAATTCATTGACACACACAGGATGAAGATGTGCGATGTGACATAGCCTAGATTACTTGTTAGATTGTGGTTTGCTGCTTTTTTAAACATCTTTCTGTCATAATCTCGTCAGAGTCTAGAACACGAGATCAAGTAATTGCTCAATAAAGTAGGCTATAACCTACTAACCCTTCCGCAGCACACCAGTCCGCTGAGACCCTTGATGAGAGTTAGCCGAAAGAAAGTAGAGTGAGTTTTACCATTTAGCTTGTGGATCTCAATTTAGTCTATCAAATGCAACGGAAAGAGTTTGTTTGTTTGTTATTCTCCTATGTTGTTTGTTATATCTCCTAAGTTAACAGCCTAAATCTATTATGTCTTATTTTCAAAGGACAAAGCAATTGTTCATGTTGTGCGAAGGATATATTAGCCTATATAGCATCCAATATACCCAAGATGGTTAAAGGGATAGTTCACACAATTTAAATGATGTCATCATTTACTTACTCACCTTTCACTTGCACTGAATTTTTTTTACAGGCTGTTATTTTATGGTTTATTTCTGGCAGCTAGGGTTAAATTACAGAAATTTCCCAGAAATTTGAATTTAAGTAAATTTTTGAAAGAAAGTTAAACGAGTTCTACTAATTTATTTCATTTTACCAGAAATTTAAATTTAAGTAAATTTCTATAATTTAATGTCTGTTATTTTACAGTAAATTTCTCTAATTTAACGGCCATTATTTTACAGGGTTTTTTTTCCCGGCACCCTAGCTGTGGTTATTTCAGTTTCAGTATATACATTTTCATACAAGTCAGTGGGTCCCCGCAAATAGCAAAAGAAAGAAACTCTTAACCGTTTAAAACCAAAAGAGGTAGAGTTGAATGATGAGGTAATTTTAATTTTTGTGTTAGCTGTACTTTTAATATTCATTTAAATTCTGTTGCTATTTTACATCTAGTGATTTCTCTATTTAAGACTTATTCGTCATTAGGTCTTCATCTCAATTGACTCTTTGTTCTCACTCATGGCAACTTAAGGTCATTTTCAGCCATTCTCAATGCTTTTTTTGAGTTTTATTTTCTCTGAGTGACTCATTTGAGCATCAAACAATTTTCTCTTGTCTTGCTTCTGTGCCATCACGTTTCTTTGCAACTTCCTCAGCATGTGTGTGTGAGTGTGTTCCTGTTCAAGATAACAGCCAATCATTTTTTTACAGATTCTAGAGTCAGTTTCTGGTAAAAGTTTATCTGAATGACCTGTTCTGTTTAAACTGATGGATTTTTGTGATGAAGTGTGTTGTTTTCACTCAATGCTGTGACATATTTACTTCTGTTGTTACAGGTTGTAAGATTGTTTGCAGCTTTTCACCCACAAACAGGGTTTCCAGCTCGAGTTCTGCATCTCGTATCTCCATTAATTGTCAACCGCCCCACATCTAACCATCAAAGACCACAGCGCATCTCATCTAGAGGAGGTACAGTAATGTGTCACAGTGAATGAAGCGGCTAGCGTTTGATCTGTGCATTTTAAAAATAGGCCTCGTGCAAGTTGGTTCAGGTGCAAACCAGTTCAAAGAAACATTCTGAAGTATTTATAAAAGTACTCTTTATAGATTTATTATGTTTCATACCAATGAAAACATAAATATTAAGATTTTTCTACTTTAGCCTTTATGATGTAATGGACTAGTGGACTACAATAATGTAATAATAACTTCCTGTAAACTTATAAAAACTCAAGTTGATTTTATTTTTATTTATTTATTTTTTTGTCAATTTGGTCATAAAATTATCCTAAAATTGTGATTTAAAGCTGTTACCTCTTGATTATAGTTTTAGAGATTTAGATGCATTAGATGTCTGATGGTCTGTCTTGAAAAATGAATCAGGTGGTTGTGAATCAGGAAGTTTCCACTTTGCATTCCTTATGATGAAAACTAACAAGTCACAACAACACCTTTACCTTTGCAGCAGAAGAGTGGAAACCTAAATAGCTTTTAATTGTTTTTCTTTGAAAATATGCACTAGTTGGACATTTCTGATCACTGTAGAATTGTTAGCCATGGAAAAACTATCAAAACTGGTTTATGGTATTTCAAGTGTTATGCCATATTTAAAAGATAAATTAAATTACAGCCTCTATGGCTTGGCCCCTGAGTATATTTTTGAGCTAATTAATATACACCAACCCATGAGATCTCTGTGCTTTAAGGATCGCCTCTATTTGCAAGTTCCACGATCACGCTTGAAATGTTAAAGTGACGGAGCCTTTTCAATAGCAGCTCCAAGACTTTGGAATGATCTTCCACTCTCCTTAAGAACAGCTCTAAGTTTTAAATCTTTTCGGAAGTAACTGAAAACAAACACTTTAGCTTTTAATCATGTGTTGTGAGTTTATGTACTTTGGTTCCTTATATGTTTGCATGTATGATGTGTTTTTATGTACAGCACTTTGGTACCCATTGTGGTTGGTTGAAAGTGCTCTAGAAATAAAGTGAGTTGAGAGTATTGGGAGATGAGATGCTCATTATGCTCAAAACACACCTATAAGTCATTAAGCATGACCCTTTTAGACCATGCGCTGGCACACAGACCATACTTTTCCATCCTTAAATCAGCAAAAGTGATTTATAATTGTTTTAAGTGGATTTAGTGACTATTGCTAATGCAGTTATCATTTTTAGTAACTGCTCGTCCACTGATCTCTTTGTGTAATCTGTAAGTACATTTTGACTTTACGACTTTCCAAAAAAATCACACAGTGTAGAACAATAATTACAATTACATACAAGTTACTATAGTAAGAAACAATTTAAAAACATTTTAAACATGAAACATACAACACTGTAACTGAAGAAGCTTTCACAGAGGGGCGAATCCAAATGCACATTTATTTAATAGAATGGTCAGTCAGGCAACGGTCAACACAGGAGCAATCGGGTTCATACAGATAATCCAGAAGTCGTTGTTGATGAACAGGCAAATGGTCAAAACTGGAGAAAGGTATGATAAACAAGGAACAAGGCTATGAATAGATTACATAAAACACAAGAGTCAAAGAACACGGCTCTATTTTACAGTCTATGGGCTAGACATATAAATGAAGTGCTTTGTAAAGTTACAGGTTCGTTTGACTAACAAAACAAACAAATAACACTTAGCCATGCATTTGAGCAAATGTGGTGTATAATTAGTCTGTGCAATGAGTCCAATGAGTAAAAGTTCTTCTGAATGACCTGTTCTGTTCAAACTGATGGATTTCTGTGATGAAGTTTGTTGTTTTCAATTAATGCTGCTGTGACATTTTTATTTCTGTCGTTCCAGGTCATGTGATTGTGTGCAGCTTTTCACCCACAAACAGTGTTTCCAGCTCGAGTTCTGCATCTCGTATCTCCATTAATTGTCAACCGCCCCACATCTAACCATCAAAGACCACAGCGCATCTCATCTAGAGGAGGTACAGTAATGTGTCACAGTGCATGAAGTGGTGAGCGTTTTCTCTGTGCATTTTAAAAATAGCCTCATGCCAGTTTGGCTCAGGTGCAAACCAGTTCAAAGAAACATTCTGAAGTATTTATAAAAGTACTCTTTCTACAATTATATTGTTTTATTATAATTTGTATTTAAGCCATCAAATGAAATTTTCCCCCATGGTTTAAATAAAACATGATTTCCTCTTAGACCTAAATAGTTAAAATATTAAAAATATTAAAAAATGTGTCAAGCTGTAATAATAGAAACTTGAATAAACATTTAGATCAGCTGCTATTCTGTACAGTAACAAAGTAATTAATGCAAAAGTAATTAGTTTTGTGTCTAAATTAGTTGATATATTTTTCAAGTTGTATTTGATTGTTTTAAAGTTATTCAATTCTACTTTAAACTTTGTCAAGTGCTTGAATGGTGTTACAGACTAATAGACTACAGGAATGTTATATTACTCCCTGTAAACTTATAAGAACCTGATTTTATTGAGTTTCTTTGTCTTTTTGGTAATAAATTATCCAAAAATGGAGATTTGATTTAAAGCTGTTATCTCTTGATTATAGTTTTAGAGATTTAGATGCATTAGATGTTTCATGGTCTGTCTTGAAAAATGAATCAGGTGGTTGTGAATCAGGAAGTACATTCCTTCAAATGTAAACAAACAAGTCACAACAACACCTTTACCTTTGCAACAGAAGAGTGGAAAGTAAAATAGCTTTTAATAGTTTTCTATGAAAATATGCACTAGTTTGACATTTCTGATCACTGTAGTATTTATATTTAACAATACAAGTTTAAACAAAGATTCCCAACATTTGTTTTATTAGATATAAAATAAGACATTGGTATAAATGTTTTAAGATAACTGATAAAACAGTTCTATACACATATAATCACATTAAAAACAACTTCAATAATTTCCATATAAAGCACAAACATCCTTGTGTTTTGATGTTTTCATGAAAAAAAAAAGTTTATATTGTTCCTTCATTAGTTTAGAAGCTCTCAGTATTGCCCAAAAATTTTCAACATTTGTTTTAAAAAAAGGCATTGGTGCTAATCTTTTGAGGTCTTTCTACCATTCAATGATTCATTGATTCATTCATTCATTCATTGATTCATTCATTCATTCATTCATTCATTCATTTTCTTTTCGGCTTAGTCTCCAATTAATCTGGGATTGCCACAGTGAAACAAACCGCCAACTTATCCAGCACATTTACCCTTCCAACCGCGACCCAAACATACATACACTTTTAATCACACACATACACTGTGTATAATTTAGCTTACCCAATTCACCTGTACCGCATGTCCTTGGGCTTGTGGGGTAAACCGGAGCACCCGGAGGAAACCCAAGCGAATGCGGGGAGAACATGCAAACTCCACACAGAAATGCCAACTGACCCAGCCGAGGCTTAAACCAGCAACCTTCTTGCTGTGAGGCAATCGTGCTACTTACTGCGCCCCCGTGATGCCCCATGTTTGTACCGATACAACATAATGCAGTGCTAGTCTACTGTTCAATTCAATTCAGTTCAATTCAATTCAGCTTTATTTGTATAGCGCTTTTACAATGTAGATTGTGTCAAAGCAGCTTCACATAAATGGTCATAGTAACTGGAACAGTGTAGTTCAGTTTTTAGTGTTTAAGTTCAGTTCAGTTCAGTTTAGCTCAGTTCAGTGTGATTTAAAATCATTCCTGAGAGTTCAAACACTGAAGAGCAAATGCATCGATGCGTAGCTCTACCAATCCTGAACCATGCGAGCCAGTGGCGACAGCGGAGAGGAAAAAAAAACTTTACCTGATGGGAGTGAAAAAAAAAACCTAGAGAGAACCAGACTCAGTTGGGCACGACCATTTTAATTTCTCCGCTGGCCAAAGTTCTTGTGCAGAGCTTCAGTCACCGCGTTGGAGGCTGGAAGATGGCCTCAGCGAAGACTCGTCTGTCCCTGGAGCGTTGCTGGAATCAGACTCATGTATTCCACTCCCCATGACCATCAGCGCAGCAGCAGCTCAGGATATGGCTTGGTCCCGGATATACTGTTACTTGCCAATATTAAAATATAATATGTGACCTGAACCACAAAACTAGTCATAAGTGTTCATTTTTGTAAATTATGTTATATTATTTTTATACATTGCACGAATCATCACATTTTCATTGGTGTATGGTTTGTTCCGATGGCAATATCTGGAGTCTTAGGGTTAAATATACTGATAAAATCACATTCAAGTTCTCAACATTGAATCATTCATTTTCTTTTCGGTTTGCTCCCTTTATTAATCTTGGGCTGCCACAGCGTAATGAACCGCCAACTTATTCAGCATATGTTTTATGCAGCGGATGCCCTTCCAGCTGCAACCCATTTCCAGGAAACACACACACACACACACACACACACACACACACACACACACACACACACACACACACACACACACACACACACACACACAACGGGCAATTTTAACTTACCGAATTCATCTGTACCACCTGTCTTTGGACTTGTGGGGGAAACTGGTGCACTCGGAAGAAAGGTTCTCAACAATGCATATTGATAAAAAATTTATTTTGAAACATTTAGAGTAGGATCATGTCAAAAAATCTTCATGCAACATAATCTTTACTTAATGTTTTACTGAGTTTTGCCATAAAGAGTAAATATAAAATTTTGACCCATAACGATGCAACATAAGACAGAAGGTTTTTGTGCTCCAGGGTCATATATAATCTTAATGACAACAAACTCTACAGGTACTTTTGAGATCAGCCTTTACAGTACCGCTGTCTATTAAATTTGATAGTTTACTGTAGTCTTCGTGTCCACATCCAGCAAAGATTTCTGTTAGAGACAGAAACGTGTCACAAAAATAGCTTATTTGATGTATAACTAAAAAAAGGGTTTATTGATTGAGTTGAAACCAAGGCGTGTAAAGAACAAGCAGACATTAAGGTAGACAGAGCACTTTAAATTGATTGTAATTATATTGCTTGCTTCAAAAACACTGACGTCAATATCAGGAAAAGATAGAAACCATATTGAATTATACTGTGTGTAAGTGCATCCAGCTTTATTTTGAGCATCTGAGGTAAAAGTGCATATGCGCTTACCCTGTTTGTGCAAAATGTTGTTTCTGCATAAAGTACCACTTCCTTATACGTCTGACCTGTTTCAACAATAATTATCATATTGTTCAAATATCAAAACATTGCAGTGTAATTAAATGGTGTTTGTTAAATTATGAATTGAAGCACGTTTTTTTTTTAAACGGAAATTTTTTTTAACCCAGAAATCTAGATATCACTTAACGAATAAGATACTTGCCTTCATTTCTTGGTTGTTTCAATTTCCTCCATTGAAAGAATTGCATTCCTGCAACCGACACAGACAAGACCAGCGGTATCACAACACAAACTGCTACTCCCACTGAATGTTTATACTGTGTGAGTTCTGTAATGAACAAACATAATATACAGAGGAATATTGATGTATCCTTAAGCAAAATGCTTTTACTAAAACTCTAAAATCGTTGTACAGACATGGCTGGACATTAAGTAACTGACCACTAATTACATGACTATACCTTCATATCTCTGACAGGTTTGACTGATGTCCAGTTGTGTGGTGTGGTTTGTGATGGTGTTGTTGATCACACAGCTGTAGGTGTTTTTATCCTGATATTCCACCTCCAGAGGTAGAGAGAGACTGATGCTGAGATCAGACACACTGATGCTGGACAATACACTGTTTCCTTTGTGCCAGGAGAGACTCACAGCACTCACATTCACCACTGAACACAACACTGAACAGTTGGACTTTGATGAAAAGGATGAGGATGATGTTGAACAGTTTGAACAGTTATTAGTTATGACAGGAAAAGGAAGATGAGCTAGAAAAAAAGGAAAAACATGCAATTAAAATGTTGCTCTAAAAAAAGAGCAGCATAAAAAATTCTGTCCTATGCTTGTTCATAATTTTAATGTTATAAAAGCATTCTATGAAATAAATTGCTCAAAATAATGCTAATAAATTTAAATGTGGACACATTTACCTTAAAACCATATTTATTTATTTAATTATTTATTTATTTATTTATTTATTTATTTATTTATTTATTTATTTCTTGATCATACTTACTATATACAGTAACTGTAAAAGTCTTGTGTGAGACTGCTCTGTTCCTGCGAATCTGTAGTTTATAAAGTCCAGAGTGTTCAGTTGTGATGTTTCTGATGGTCAGAGATCCAGTGTGATTGTCCATCTTCAGTCTGTCTCTAAATACCACGTTATCTTCTATGTCTATGTTATTTCTTTGGATTTCAGCTATAATACTGTCTGAATTGTTGACATTAAACATCCACATTATCTCTGTCTGTCCATTTAATGTTATATCTGTGTTTAGAGTGACAGATTCTCCCTCCGTCACGGACTTTACTTCATCTGTGTAAACAAATGTATCTGAAATTAAGAAACATTTAAAAATGTGTATTAATACTTTTGTCAAGAGTGAAGATCATATGGCACAATTCACTAAAGTAAACGGCTATTGTTTTTGAATGTTTGGGAATATAACTTTTAAACCATCCTTTCATTCGCTCAGCTGCTGTTGGTTGTTCATTATTTATACAGCTGTTATTGTTTAGGCAGGTGTCTATTATTTAGACAGGTTTACAGATGATGAGCTTCAAGGTTAACATTTTCCACACTGTAAAAAGAAAACTGTTGCTTCCCTTAACAAATGTTTTAGTTGGATTGGGTTAACTTTTCTAGTCATCTCAATTTAAAAATACAAACTAAAAATATTAAGTTAAACTTTGCATATCTTTTATTCTTGAAACCTGATTAACATATTAAAATAGGTTAAATAGGCCAAACATATAAAATGTTTACAGTGCAACATGTCAAAAATAGCATGTCTTTACATGCTGAGAACTGTTAATATCTGTTAATAACTGTTAATATTGA